AGTTAGTTCGGCACATCACAAGAAAGCAAAATGAAAGAAGAAAAGAGATAATTAAAAGGCCTCGGCCCCAGCCGAAGAAGATTACCATCCCTAAACTTTCGGCTGAGGCCGACAGCTGCCAGCATATTCTCTTGGAAAACATAGTGCGTATCGGGGAGCCAAGTCTCCGGGATATGCTGCATTCGGCCGCTGCCTCCCCGGTTCGGCAGCTTGCCGAAGATGTTCTGCTGATTAAGGTTCGGGTCTGGCCCGCTATCTTCGGGAGGACCTAAACTTCCCATATCAGGATCCGGCTCGGCAAGATACCGGGGAGCGCTGAAAACGTAAGGGTGGCTCGGCTCCGTGGGTGCCCTAACCCAAATCCATTGACCTCTCCAGTCCTTGTCTGAAGAGTCGTTCGGCCACATGGTTAGGAACGGGGGCCGAGACTCAATCCGATACCACCCAGAGCCATGGCATCCGTGCCCACTTTGAATGTTTGGCACTAGCCGATGGAGCCTTTTGAAGCAATGCAGGTTCGGCACGTACCTGAAGAATTTGCAGACCCATAAGTACGTCATTACCCTTCGGATGCTGGTGGGGGTCAGCTGGCACAGGGAAATGTTGTAATGGATCAGCAAGTCTCGGACGAAAACGTCCAAAGGGAACCTCAGCCCATACTGAAGCTGTCTCGTGTACACCCCCACATACCCCGGGGGTGGACGATGGATTCTATCGGATGCTGAGGGCATTCGGCACCAATATCCATCAGCTTCAAAAATGCCGTAGTGCAACTCAATTTGCTCGGCAAATCGATATTGATCGGCGTTCTCTACCCACCATGAGTAGGGGCGGTTCTTTATCATGGCCGAAGCGACTTCGGCATCCTCCCACTCTGAAAACCCTGGGAGGATATCCCAAAGGACAGCGGGAACTTCATCATCCCGTCCTGAAGCGCTCACCCCCTCAGCCCTCTGAGGAGGAGCCGAAGAAATGGGAGTCGCCCTAACCCCTTCAGCAGGGTCAGACTCTGTCCTTCGTCCATTCCAGGTCCCAATCCTGTCCCTGGGATCGGGGATTAGCCTTGCTCTCCTTGGAGCACGGGCTCCACCTCTAACTCCCCTCACCATTGACGAATTTCGAAGGAAAAAGTCGAAAAAGGGGAAAGAGTGCAAAGTCGAAGAAAGATGAAATAAAATCAAAGGAATTTACCTTGATCTGAAGTAAAAGCCGCCGATTTACGAATTGGTAGTGACAAGTCTCAGCTTCTAAGCTTAATGCTCGGGGAATTTGCGAAGTTTTGATGCGGGCTCTTGAGCGTTCTTGAGAATTCTGGGTTTGTGTTGATGAGTGAGTGGGGAGAGAAGACGCGCCTCTATTTATATCTCCAGAAATGGGAATTCAAGGAGTCTGCGTTTCAATTTCTCTCAAGCACCCCACTAAGTAACCGTTAAACACACGACCTTGCAGTTAAATCGCCCACTACCCGTCCAACTTCCGCAATTATCCACATTAACTGTTGTTATCTCATTAATCATGGGTTAATTACGGTTCAAATTCACATTTTTGGATTAACAAATCATTCACTTCCCTCCTTTTCTGATTAAATCAAACCCGACCCGTCATCCTTCCAAATCGGGTCTGGGGGGCAAGTTGTTTGGGTCCAATTTAGTCCAATTGGGCCTGGTCACTGAATGATCCAATTAAAAGCCCAAGGTTAAGGTTCAACTCTCCAAATGTGCTAAAGTCAAAAATCAAACATCCTCAAAGCCATGTCAAGGTCAGTCAACGGCCCAATCAGCTTGGCCCAGCCCAACTGACTTCCGGGCCCAATCTGCCTCCTTCATTAGCCAAGGTATAAAAGCCAACAATTTGGTCAATTCTTGGTAAGACAATAAAGCCTCAAGCAACTAAACTCTTGCACAGCTTTCTCTCTCTAATATACTGACTTAAGCATCGGAGGGGCCTTCCTCGGCGTCCCCCCCGAGGCTAGTTTACGTGTATTTGTTGTGCAGGAAACCCTCGGCTCCTGCGTCGTTCGGACCGAGACCAAGTTCCCTCAAGATAAAAGGATCTTCCGAGATTCGATTGTTTTCATCCGAAACACATATTTTTTTTTTCTAAATATAGAATAAGATACATAAACAAATGAAAAATCTGGTAAATAAAATTAATTCATCTCTACTTCCTTCCTTCCAGAAGACACTCTCAATGTTACATTATTCTCATCTTTTTGGTACCTCTTGTATATATCACCCTTGTAAAACTTCCTAGTTCTAGCAACAAGAATCAAAGACACAAGCGCGGTAAAGAACGTGGCGGCCGCAATTATAATGAAGGCCAATTGGTTACACTTGACTCCATTGCACATCAACTCCTCCCCAAGCTTCCTCGTTAGCCCTAACGCCTCGAGTTGTCTCAACCCCTCCTTGTCATACAATTGCCCCGCGACTCTCACGTTAAAAATGTACGAGCCTAATGGGGCGGCTAGTGAGCCGTATTTGTACAATGTAGCATAGTGTTTTAGCCCAAAGAGCTCGGATATGATAGAGTATACGTACGTCCACTCGGCACCAAAGCAAAATCCCATGATAATCGACGCTACTTAGAGGCCATATGGTACGTCAAAGGCTATGAGAAGATGAGCAATGCACGATATAGAGAGGACGATGGTAAGGCTGGCTGGCCGAGGCCATTTGTACTTTAACATGTGCTCCGAAATTAGTCCTCCTAATACACGCCCTAAATATTGCCATATAGTAATTAAGGACACAAATGTGCTAGTACTTTTTTAGGGTACCCTAATGATGCCCCAATTTGACCTAAATTGTCTATTGTTGCTAGGTTCCCCCCTATGCCACATGTTGTAGCAAGGAACAATATCATCATTTCGATACTAAACGTTGCTTGTAAGATGGTGTGGTCTTCCCCTATAGCCGGAGGGCGGAACACATCTTGAATTCATGACACTTCTGTATGTTCTACTTCGCGATGACTTCCATTAGTATTATTATCGTTAGGTTGATTCGTTGATGGAGATTTATCATTACTAGGCATGACCTTTAGCTCAGAGAGGGTCATACCGGGAGTATTAGTATTCATTTCGAGCTTGGTTTTCGAAGAAGCATATAACTCTTCTCTAAAGACTAGGAAGAGAGGTAGTATGAGGAGAAGCATGATAACAACACAACTCACACCATAACCCGTTTTACTGAACTGGACTTGTTTTTGCACTAAGATCATAACCATGATGAACCCCGCGAGGGCTAGAGAGATGTAAAGTACACCATTGAAAAATATCTTCTCCCTCTTGATCTCTCTATGACTAGAAAACTCAAGGACTCAAACGCTAAATGCAAAGAGCAACAAAGTGAGTGCCGGTACCCAAGCAACGAGTAAGATCACCCCGTCAGCCGTTGTATCATTACCATAGAGTGCATGATACAATTGAGCCATAACAGCCCCACCTAAACCAATATACGACTTCAAAATCCCAATCACAACGCCTCGATTCTCAGGGAAGTTCTTGATACAAGGTACTATAGCTCCAGTGTTGGCAAACCCTAAGGAGTTAGCACCAATGATGATGTACAGACACATTAACCAAACCGAGGGGCGGGCGATCTTGTGAGTGACCGAGAGCCATATCATGATGTACCCAAAGAGGTTAATCATGGTACCAATTGAGAGGATTACCCAAGGTGGGGCCACCTCCATGATGAGACCAGCGTGGACACTAACATAAGCACCAAGGTCTTTGAAGAAACCAAGGAGATTAAGGGTGGCTTGATCGTACCCGAGTGTTGTTTTAATGTCACTTGAGTATAGACTAAATATATAGGAGGTACCAATGAAGGTTAGGATTATTATGGTTGTAAACGCCATGAAAAACCGCCCCTCGAGGAGTTGTAATGTGAACCTTCTAGCCCTTGAACAGTAGCCATCGAAATGATGACTACTATCAATGGCCATTTTTCTTTGTTTGTGTATTTGTTTTGAGAAGAATAAGTAAAATTTCAAGTAGAATCATTTACATGCATGATTATATAGTGCAATGAGTATGCTCTGAATATATGCACTAATTTAACTTGGGAAAGATTAATAATATGTGTCTTTAGCAAAAAATATTGTGGACAGCTAGCTAGCTACAATGTTGAAGATTACAAAGATAAGATAATATTTACAATCAATAGCCAGGTTAGGTAAATCCGTAAATGTAATGGATAATATCAAGGTGTATCTTTGATATTATCGATCTCTATCATGTCTTGGAAATTCTGTATCTAATAATTTGAATCATTAATGATTCTAATAATGTTCGCTAGTATAAAATTGTGTTTAGAAGGCATTACCGTTATATCAAATGCTTCCTCAAAGCTCGCGGATCAAACAGTGCAGTCCAATCTTGGATTGGATAATGGATAATAAGACATAAACGTGGGCTTGTTAGTGTTCGTTGTAAACATAATTATATGAATTGTGATAATAAATGAAACCAATATGAAGTCAATTGTTGCAATATGGGATCAATTTCAATCCCAATTTTTTATAAACCATTTTTTTTTTTTACCAATTTTTTATAAACCTAACTACATAACTATCAATCAAATTATTAATTTGTTTTAGTTTCTTATGCATGACACCATTAGAATCGAAATTACTTATAAACCATTTGCCCTAAGCTAATTTTTGAATTTGTAGGAAATTTTTTAAATTCTGGTAGCAATATGAAAACATGGCCGGAAATGTGATCAGAAAACGAGTTAATAAGGTATTAAATAAATAAACGAGACTAAAAACTTAAGGTTGTAAAACCACAAACAATTATATATGGTGGGAAAATCCAAAAAGTGATATTAAAACGTAGTAAAAGATTTAAAAAAAAATTATGTATTCTCTATATAACTATAGGTTTCAACAAGCAATCTACCATCATAGTTATGATATAAGAGTTTTGTGTCGTATTGAGATCTACAATTGAGTATGTTTGTTTCTTTAAATTGTCAATACACACAACACAGGTAGCAAACTACCTTTGGGACAACTTCCTAGGAGGAACCTCAGACTCACGCCCTTTCGGAAATGCAGTGCTCGACGGCATAGACTTCGACATCGAACTTGGCTCAGGAGATAACTACGATATCCTAGCAAGGGCACTCAATAGACGCAGCACCGCTTTAAGGAAGATCTACTTATCAGCAGCACCACAATGCCCTTTCCCTGATGCACATCTTAGCAATGCGATAAACACAGGTTTGTTTGACTATGTTTGGGTGCAATTTTACAACAATGCACCTTGCCAGTACACTAACGGCAACACAGGCAACCTCGTAAGCTCGTGGAACGAATCGACTACCGTGAATGCTGGCCAAATATTCCTCGGATTACCTGCTGCACCAGGTGCTGCCGTAAGTGGGTATATTCCGCCTGATGCTCTTAAAAGTCAAGTGTTACCAATCATTAGGATGTCTCCCAAGTATGGAGGGGTTATGCTTTGGTCTAGGTTCTATGATGCCGGATATAGTACTGCCATTAAGGATAGTGTGAATGGTGGATCTAGTAATGGAGTTCATCATGAGTCTATTGGCATCGCAATAATTCTTAACTAACCCTCACTCTATCCCTCATGATATTTTTTTTTTCTTTTTTTTGAGACTATATACTATCTCTGTTTCATATTATTTGCAACAAATTAAAGGATATTATTCATGAAATATTAAATTTTTTTTATTGCAAATGATATGAAATAAGGGTAATAACAGACAAACATTAGCCTACAAGCTAGTATTATATTGTAATTTTTTTTTTTTTTTTAAACTATGAGTATCAATAAAATGATCAAAGAGATCTTGTAAAAAAAAAATATAAAAAAAAAAATTTAATCAAAGAGATCGAGGTGATAGTAAATTCTAAGTGGGCGACTAGCTATATGAAATGAAATAATAAAGTAATAAACATATCTAGAAGGTCAATTTAACAAGAAAATTCCAAATTGAATTCTTCACACTATAATTCAGCATATTGGTTAGGAAAATAAACTACTCGCCAAGAATACATCGATCTATTCAATAAACGGGAAATTCCTTGTTTCTCATAGTGAGAAACGAAATTTGTTTCTTACGAGGGTATTTTCGTGAATAAATCAACAACTTTTTCATTATTGTGGGCTTCACAATTGAATAAAGTTGAATAAAGTTGTTGGTTTATTTACAAAAATACCATGTGAGAAACAAATTTTGTTTCTCACTATGAGAAATTGGGGCTCCCTCTCAATAAACAACTCTCAAAATCTAAATATTGTCCCTAAACTAATCTCTAAAGCCTTCGGACTATAACATCATCCGAAATTTCAAACAATGAGAAAATAACACGTGGAATATTGTACAGATTTATTGATATTTCTACATATAAAATTGATTTTTTTCATTTTAAAGTCGCGCAATTAAGATTGTAATTACTGTAGTGCTTTTGAATTCCAGACTACACACCCGATATTAATTAATTAATTAGTTTCGATAGTAAATTTTCATGATGATGAGTCAGAGTCAACAAATTATGCGCGCACATACATGTGTAATGCGCATAAGCATGTTTGGGTATTTTATAAATATATATATAAACATCAACTTAGATAACCAAGCACAAAATATCTACATTACATAAATATAAATATAGTAGTATCTTGACCAAATATGTCTAAAGAACTTCATTGCATTTCTCTTCTTACCACAATCTCCTTTTTCTTCCTCTTATTATCCACAAAATCTCATGCTGGTAGCATCTCTATCTATTGGGGCCAAAACGGCTTCGAAGGAACCCTTAATCAAACGTGTGCAACGGGTAGGTACAAGTTTGTTAATGTTGCATTCCTTAACGTATTTGGTTCCGGTCAAACCCCCTCTCTAAACCTAGCTGGTCATTGCAACCCATCTACCGGTGGGTGCACCGGCGTAGGGCCAGAAGTGGAGTATTGCCAATCTTTAGGGATAAAGGTCATGCTCTCTCTTGGAGGAGCTATAGGAAACTATGGCTTCTCCTCTAAGAAAGACGCGATGGATTTTGCATGTTACCTATGGGACAACTTCTTGGGTGGTACCTCGAGTTTTAGGCCTCTTGGTAACGCTGTGTTTGATGGTATTGACTTTGCTATTTACCAATCAAAGTCAACACTTTATTGGGATGACCTGGCAAGATATATAGCACGGTATAATTTATTAGGAAGAAAAAAGGTGTACCTAACGGCTGCCCCTCTATGTCCGTACCCTAACAAATTGTTAGACATGGCACTTAGGACAAGGTTGTTTGATTATGTTTGGGTTCAATTTTTTGGACACGACCCGTCATGCCAATATAATGATGGAGATATTACAAGTCTTATAAATTCATGGAATGTGTGGTCTTCGACCGGATATATAAGGAGAATCTTTATGGGGTTGCCGGCGGCCGCGTGGGAGGCCGGAAATGGGTTTATTCCGGCGGATATACTGAAATCACAAGTGCTTCCTATCATAAAGATGTCACCCAAATATGAAGGAATAATGTTGTGGTCAAAGTATTGGGATGATACAACTGGATACAGTCCTGCAATTATTAGTAGTATATGAATTATTTTGTTATTCTTATCATCGTTTGTCCAACATATAATAATACAACTTCGTATATGTATTAAGCGTCTCTCTTTAAAATCAAAATAACATTTATCAACTTAGGTTGTGAGGTGGTTATTAGGTTGTTCGAATTAGCTTAGTCTCGAACTGGGTTAATTCTGATCAGACCATTTTCTAATAAGACTCGTTCGGATTGATATTGGGTATGGGCCGAGTCAGATCAAATAATTTTCGATTCCATTGTGTCAAGATGTTTGTTTTAATAAAATAGTTATAATTAGAAAAGATTAATTAGACATAATAATTGAATGCAACAATCTCTTCTCGAATCTCTTCTTGGTGACCACCATCACTATTATAAGAAATACTTTTATTAATTTATGTATTTAACCTTAATTAATGCATGATTACTTCACTATGACATTGATCAAAATTTAGTGCATACACAATTATGTTATAACTCACCTCTAAACCCAAAAATATAATCTCCTGTTATTTTCAATACCACTTGCTATTACAATACGAAGTAAATAGCAAGTGGTATAATAAATAAATTGAACTCTAATTTAATTACTAAGCTCCTTCATTGATTATTAATACTTCAACTAATGCAACATGTGCAACACCTAAGCCAAGACATAATAGCCGCCTCATTTGTAGCTATTTATTCAGGAATCGTTATTTAAGAATGTAGTAATTTATCTCCTTTTTTTTTTTTTTTTTGAAGGGTAGTAATTTATCTCTGTAAGAAAAGATAACTATGTCAATGTACGATTCATTTTGATAATATAATCGTATTATAAATTGAAGATTGGAGCTATATGAGTAGTAGACTTTCATGATACATTATGAGTCAAAAAAAAACTTGTGTTATCTACTTGATTGTAACTGTTAGAATCTAACAAGAGATCGATCAAGAAGAAGTTGTGGCCTTCAACAGTTAATTTGCTAGAATACCCTCTATCTATTGTTTTTTTTAAGATAGTCGTATTTCAATATTTAATGCATGTTGGATGAGTCAAACAATTTTTTGTAACGTCTTTTATATATGCCTTTAAAATTGTGGTTACCCTTGACCCGACCCGAAAATCCAGCCCAAAGTTACCGATAGAAACCCGACCCGAACCCGAACAACCCATATTCAACCTAATTTGACCCCAAATATCATATTTTATAATAATATTAAGTTTTACACTATTTTTTAGTACAATATGAAATCGACCAAAAATCTAACCTGAACCCGAATCCAATCCCAACCCGTTAGACTCAAATTACCACCCCTTGAGGATGTTATAAATATAGTGTAACTTTTAACTGTACTTTCATTTGATTTGCTATAATGAATATAGATGATGAAAAACAAAGTAAATATAAAATGAATGAAGTGTAACATATATGGTGGGTCGTTGCAGCAAATAGGAGTGGCAACAAACAAAGTGGGTGGAATATATGATGAATATATATCCTCCATTTATCATGCCTTTATACTTTGGTTTCATATATATTCTGTTCATCTACCAGACAGTAGAATATGCACAGTAGTTAAATTGAATTAGTCTTGCTGACTCAATCAAAGCACACCTTCCACTTTAGAACGTGCACTTCAATTTTCAAACAAGTTTGATTAATTAATTCAGCAAACATCAATTATATCTATATAGTCACAAGTTGCCTAATTCAATAGTCAAAATTAATATGGCCAACGATTAAAATATCAGTCTATGTTGATGATGAAAAGCTAGTCGCTTTCATTGACATTCTCCATTAGCTCTCTAGTATGTTAATTATTAGTAATTTTATGTACGGAGTACAATCTTCGTTCTTCAATTTTTTTTTTTTACTTGTGTATTTCATGACTATTGATATCTATTTTGCTATATTATAAAATTTCACTACACATAACTCGAGTTTTCAAATTCTGACCACATAAACATTAAATTAAACAAGATCTTTAAAAACAAAGGAGTATGTATACACATAAATTTCAATGATTCTCTAATACAAACTAATCCTATCCATTTATCCATATGACCATGACCATGTCCATGAATTTGTTCAATGTTATGTTTTTATCAGGTAAATTAAAAAAATAATAAAAATAACATCAATAAGATGTTAATACAAAGTCAACCATCTTAATCTGATGTAAGTTATGTTGTTCTTTACGTATTACTCCTACAGTCCTACTACGTTAATATGAAGCAATTGATATTACATTTAAATATCACACTATTATATATTTCCAAGGATGATAAGTCAAATAGTTATTTATGTGTATTAGTTTTAATTTGAATGATAATATACATATGTAAAGATAAGTCAAATAGGTATTTATGTGTATTAGTATTTTTTTTTTTTTAAAGAAATATGAGTATTAGTTTTGAATGATAATATTCGAACATTATTTTTAAATTTTCCCCTACTCGTCAAGATAAACAAATTCAAACACGCACTCTATTATCCTCTACACCAAGATGGAGTACTAAGTATTCTACAAATTATGCAACAATATTTGTACTATTATTCTTTAATTTATTTCTATTTTTGAAAGAACATTTGGCGAAATTAATTCAATCAAGCATTATTTGTACTATAGACGTCTTCTTAGATAATTCTTATTTAGATATACGAAGTATTTATTAGTAACATTATTAATACAAGAAGAAAGCAAGTACTTGTAACTGTAGTAAATAATCTATATCTAAACACATTTGCAGGCCGACGCGCACCATCCGGTAGCTAAGGCCCCACACACATGTTGCTGCCCACCACACTACGTCAAACGTTGACCATACTCTCTATATATAATGACCACTTGAACTACACATTATGTATCCACATATCCCATAACATTTTTTTGTATCAACTCCTAGCCACATAATGTACACCACTAAGCTCCATCTCCTTCCTCTCTTCCTCATCACCCTCCTCGGGCTCTCGTACGTGACTCAAGCCCGCTATTATGGCAACCATCGACCTAATCATGGTGGTATAGCCATATATTGGGGCCAAAATGGGTTTGAAGGGCGCTTAAATGAAACATGTGCCACAGGGAGGTACAAATATGTTAACTTAGCTTTTCTTAACATTTTTGGTGGGGGGCAAGTCCCGTCCCTTAACCTAGCCGGTCATTGTGACCCGGCTTCTGGTGGGTGCGTTGGCTTATCTAGTGAAGTCGAGTTTTGCCAAGCTCGAGGCATTAAGGTTCTTCTTTCCCTAGGGGGTGGTGTAGGGAACTACTCTTTTTCCTCCAAGAATGATGCAAAAGGCTTTGCCAAGTATCTTTGGAACAACTTTCTAGGAGGCCACTCAAAGTCTAGGCCTCTTGGAAAGGCACCACTAGATGGTATAGATTTTGATATTGAGTCGGGATCCACCTTATATTGGGATAACTTGGCAAGATTTTTGAATAGATACAACGGCTATGGAAGAGGAAAAAAGAAGGTGTACCTAAGCGCTGCCCCTCAATGCCCATTTCCCGATAAATATTTAGGCACTCCCTTAAAAACAGGGCTATTTGACTACGTATGGGTCCAATTTTACAACAATCCCCCGTGCCAATATAATGGTAGCACTACCAACCTTATTGATTCATGGAATTTTTGGAGCTCACAAAGCTACATAACAACGTTGTTCATGGGGTTGCCGGCCGCCAATCAAGCAGCCGGAAGTGGCTTTCTACCACCAGGCGTGCTAACTTCTCAAGTTCTTCCTCTAATCAAGAAATCACCCAAATATGGAGGTGTTATGTTTTGGTCCAAATATTGGGACGATCAAAGTGGCTACACTAAACAAATTGTCAAGGATGTTTGAATAATTAATTAATTGTCTTACCACAATATTCACTTACTTAATTTATTTTATGTATTTCGTATCATAAATTGATAGTTTTGTAAGATTAACGAGTGATGGCTGTAATAATTGTATGTAATTCAATGCGTGTAAGTTTGACTTCTTCTTTATAGTTAAAGCTCTGACTTTGGCATGTGCAAAAGTGTGCAAATTAAACTATGGATGATGGATCTAATTCTTAATGGGCCTTGTACCTTGTTACATTTGTGATGGGTTTGTCCTAAAAGGTCAGAAGTTGATTTTGTTCCAATTGAACAAGAATAGGGGTATCCTCTTTTCCTCAAAATTATGCAAAATTTGAGAGTGAGGGATAACTCAAGTAATTAGAGTTTCTCTCTCGATTCTAGGTGATTCTGGTTTCGATTCTCATCACTTGTTCTAATAGATATACTCCCTCCGTTTCATATTAAATGCAACATTTTTCATTTTTGGCCGTTTCATAATAATTGCAACGCCATTATTTTTGGCAAAGACCCAACATTATTTTATAATCTCTCTCCCACCAACCCCATTTTTACAAATATTTTATTATTTCTCTTTCCTACCAACCTCACTTATACTACTTTTTTATTATTTCACTCTCCAACCAAAAATAATTTATATTATAAAAATTCCTTTTTTGGGCCCCACCCTATAAATTTTCTTAAACTTTGTGAACACCCTAGTGTTGCATTTAATATGAAACAAAGAGAGTAATTCTTAATAAGTTAATATAATGTGTTTGATTTTGTGCGAAAATGAATAATTTTCTTTTATTTGATACCTATAAGATTGATAAATATAAGTCATATATAACTCCCTTGTCGTTTAAGATTGATATTTTCTTAACCTAACTGTTTGGGTACTATAATGGGTAGGCCCCATTATAGCCTCATAAGACCAAAGAGCCTAAAAGGTCCAAATAAGTTTTACATTGCTTGGGTCCAAAAGCCCACTCATAACCTCTATATATACCCTACTTAGGGCAAAGGTAAAGGGGGTTGGTCACTCTTACATTAAGATGACCATGAAACACCTCTCTCTCCTAAAAACCTCTCTAAAAAATATCCATTGTTTGGTACTAACTTGAGCGTCGGAGGTTCCGCCCCGGGGTCCACACCCGGGGCTCGGAGTTCATTTTGCAGGTCCGACGAAGGCCCACATCCGAGGCACATCAGCAGCCCAATGGGGCCCGATAAGCCATTTTTTGCCGAAACAATTCGGCGCCGTCTGTGGGGAGACGAGTACTACAACCCATGAAAACCCATAATTTTATGGTCATCGTTCTCTACCGTGAAAAGCGAACCAGATAATACGGGTAGCTTAAAGAAGATTCACTTCTAACATCTTCACAAAAAAGCAACTGCCAATTACTCAAAGCATGACTCTTGCTTTTCTTTTCATTAGTTTGCCTTTTACAAACTGATGAAACCACCGTCAAAAGTAAAAAGTTCAACCCCCTACTTTTTACTACTCACTTTTTCTTTGTAAAGAATAGAAAAGTTGGTCCCACATCTTCTCATCATTTCTTATTTCCTGATTCCTAGTAGCATTTAAAAGAAAGTATGTCATCTTCTTTATATAAAAAAAAAAAAAAAAAAAAAAAAAAAAAAAAGCTGCAAAAATTCGGAAGCCGAAACAGATGAAAAGAGCCATGGCAAAACAGATAAGTCAGACGGAAAAGCTCATTGAACTCACAGATCAAGGGTAAAATTCACCCTTGATTAAATTGAGTTTTGAGCTATTAAGCCAATAATTCTTGACATAAGCCGAAGCAAAATGACGATGTTCATCTGAGCCAAAGCTCATTACAGCCGAAGCAAATGTTCATGTCTGTCGAGGCTTTTACCGCTAAGGTTTTGGCTCCTTATCGAAGTTGTCCTTTCCAAAGGTTGCCGAAGCAAATAGCTCGGATAAGCAAAAGGAATCCAAAGCTCATCGAGCCGAGGCTATCCGAAAGTGCTTCAGCCCTGGCCGAAGGTGTTCTGGGCAAGCCGAAGGTTCTTCAGCCGAGACCGAAGATGTTTTCAGCCTAAGCCGAAGGCGTTCGGTGTGAGCCGAAGGTGTTTCAGCAGAAACCAAAGGTGGTTCAGCTCTCCCAAATGCCGAGGCCGAGCCAAGGATGATAACCATTGTCGAGCCAGAGCTTATCTCCTAGCCGAGGTTAGCCATGGCCGAAGCCGAGCCTAGCCGAGGTTCACCCTCGCCGAAGCTTGACTCCCAGCCGAAGGTTCACCCGGCTGCCGAAGTAGGTCCGATCCGAAGCTGAAGAAATTCCCTCAGCCAGTCGGAGGTTCATCTGAGCTGAAGCCGAAACTTATCCCCCGCCGAGGTCGCGGGCCTTGCTGAAGTTTCGGATAAGCCGAAAGTCCTAAAATCACACCGAGGCGGCCACACCGAAGGTGGGGTCGAGCTGAAGGTGGGGTGTCGGACCGAAGGTAAATTCGAGCCGAAGCTTGACTCCTAGCCGAGGCCCATCTAGGTTTAGCCGAGCCGAAACCGGTTCATGCCGAGCCAAAGGTGATATGAGCCGAAGGGGTCGCTGAAGAGCCACCAAGCTGAATCCCCGAGGCCGAGGGTACTGCTCCTAGCCTCAAAATCGAAACCTTTTCAAATAATTTTGTTATTGCTTATACTGGAGTGAAAGTGAAAGCTCATACTTTGTATACATTTTTGAATAAAGTGGGAAAATAAAGCCCCAAATATCTTCCCTGGCCATCAAATTATGGTAGGTGGTTTGGGCTCACTTTCATCTAGACCCACTTATCTAAATTTCTTCAGCAAAAGAAAATGGATCCAATATTTCGGATCAATATTTTTCTACAAAAAAAAAAAAAAAAAAAAAAAAATCATTAATTATCCTTAAGAAATTGATGATAAAAATAATAATCATCCCTTTACTCATCCTCACGATGATGGTGATAAAAATATCATTCTAACGATGACAAGAAATACCTCTCTATCTCAACTAGAAACACGGTTTAACCGAAGTACTTCGAATAAACCAGTTTCTGGGGGGCAAGGGGTTAACCCCTAAAAGAGTTGGAAATTTTTAAACTCTTATGATCTTCGGATCAAAGAGTGTTGCCTTTGATAAAAAAGCCCTTTAGACCCACGTATCTGAAGGCTCGAGAGTACCCTTCGGACCCACGTATCCGAAGGCTCGAAAAACTCTTATGATCTCCGGATCTAAGAATGTCGCCTTTGTTAAGCTCTTATGATCCTCAGATCAAGAGTGATCGCCTCTTATGATCTTCGGATCTAAGAATGTCGCCTTTGTTAAGCTCTTATGATCCTCGGATCAAGAGTGATCGCCTCTCATGATCTTCGGATCTGAGAAAGTTGCCTTTGTTAAACTCTTAATATCCTTGGATCAAGAGTGAGAGATAGGATGAAGTTCAAAGATTGACATACTTCTAAAATCCAAAAAATATCTCTAGCTACACTCGACGTTTTTAACGGTTTGCGAATCAAGAGTGAGGGATAGGAAGAGGTAGTGTCAAAATTGACCACCTCGAAAAAATCCGAAAAATATCTCTAGCAACACTCGATGTTTTTAACGGTCCCCGGATCAAGAGTGAGGGATAGGATGAAGGTCAAAAATTGACGCACTTCAAAAATCCGAAAAATATCTCTAGCAACACTCTAATGATCCTCGAATAAAGAGTGATCGACTCTTATGATCTTCGGTTCTAAGAAAGCTGCCTTTCTTAAACTCTTATTATCCTCGGATAAAGAGTGATCGCACTTGTTAAACTCCTAGTATCCTCGGATCAAGAGTGAGGGATAGGATGAAAGCCAAAAATTGACAAACTTCTAAATCCGAAAAATATCGGATGAAGGTAAAAAATTGACAACCTCAAAATCCGAAAAATATCTCTAGCAACACTCTAATGATCCTTGTATAAGGAGTGATCGTCTCTTACGATCTTTGAATCTAAGAAAGTAGCACCGGCTACAATCCATAAATCCAAACAGACAAAAATCTCCGGCCCAATTTCTATTGAATGACTTATTTGGGAATGAAATAAAACCCAACTCATTTTTCAAATAGAATTGGGTCTGGGGGCTAGTTGTTTGGGTACTATAATGGGTAGGCCCCATTATAGCCTCATAAGACCAAAGAGCCTAAAAGGTCCAAATAAGTTTTACATTGCTTGGGTCCAAAAGCCCACTCATAACCTCTATATATACCCTACTTAGGGCAAAGGTAAAGGGGATTGGTCACTCTTACATTAAGATGACCATGAAACACCTCTCTCTCCTAAAAACCTCTCTCAAAAATATCCATTGTTTGGTACTAACTTGAACGTCGGAGGTTCCGCCCCGGGGTCCACACCCGGGGCTCGGAGTTCATTTTGCAGGTCCGATGAAGGCCCACATCCGAGGCACATCAGCAGCCCAATGGGGCCCGATAAGCCATTTTTTTGCCGAAACACTAACAATAACCTTAGGCATGATTTTTATCCTTCTACAACCATACCTCATTCCTTGAATTCTATGCTACTGTAATTATCAAGTACTTATATGTTATATATGCTTTAAATTGGTGGAAGTGAAAATACATCTCACTTTTATTTTTTATATTTTTTTAACAAGTATTAATGGGTGTAATCGTTAGGCCACGAATTTTACTTTACCTTGAGATCGATCATGGTTTTAATCCATACCAATTACAGTTTTTTTAGGATGAAAATTCCCTTATCGTCCACTTGTTGTGTGTTGTGTACTTCTGTCAATTCGGATTTAAAAGGGGGTTGTGGACATGACGGCTGCGTGTGCATGTTTATATACATAATTTTGCGGGTGTATGATGTGCTGCAATGTCATTTAGTTAATCCTACTATAATCACCTACTAGGTGTATCATGGGGAGGCTTTACTATAATTTTATGGTCAATTGGTCATATATTAATCATTTAATGAGCATCTTTAGACAAGTATTTCGTATAATATAACAAACTAATTAAAGTATTAAAGACAGAGAATAATGAATAGTGATAATATAAGCATATAACTTCATGTAATCACGCAAAATTTGACGCGGAATAGCTAACTAATAGTAATGGAATTGTATATTTCAGTTAGGTGTAATACTGTTTTTTTGTTTGTTTTAATTAAGTAATATTAAAAATTTGCATTATAGGGGAAAAAAAAAATTGCGACTTATTTAAAGCTCAACCGCCATGCAATTGCTAATTATTTTACGCAACAGAGAATTGAATCTTTGATTGATAAGTACATATATTTTAGGCCTTTACGTATGTCAACTATCCTAGTGTTTCAATAGTCTCCATAATCATTTTTTTTTTTCTTTTTTTTTTTTTTGAAAGAATTTTGAGGAATACTCATAATACTTCTTTTATCAATATGAATATGTGAGGTATCTCCGTTATACTATATGTATGTCAATTATATACTCTTATTAATTAGATATATCTTATATTAAAAATTGTGATTTTTTGTGAGGAACAAAATGATGAACAAAAAAAGTGACGATTTTACAAGTTCAAAGAAATTTCTTACAAAATCATATAACGATAAGAGAAAGCTCATTTGCCTTTATAAGTCTTTAATTAATTAATTATTTTTTTTCTTTTATCAATATGAAAAGAGCGAACAAAATTAAAGGATCAAGGAAAAAGTAGTCGTATTTCTTTTTTTTTTTTTTTGTTTTTTATGTGTGTTCCACTCGATTTACCCTTTAAATTAATTCGGTTCGAGACTCAGTTCTGAGTGGTTAGGTTTCACTCCCCTTCTAATTGTTGTTGCGCGGGATCGAACATGTGGTCCTCTGTACCAAGTATAGCCTCAATCACCACTACACCAACAGCCAATTGATGGTCGTATTTCTGTATCTCAGGAAGACGGCTAGCTTTTTTTTTTTGTTTTTTTTTTTTTTTTTTTTTTTGAGGGAAGGCGGCTAGCTAGAAAGTACATAAAATGGAGGCAATTATTAACGTGGCCAAATTTTTACATACATTTTATTTTCCAATTATATTTTTGTAAATGCACCGAAGAAAAAATCTCTCTTTCAATGCTATCCTTTTCAAAGTTAAAGGTGCGATAAGAAATACACAAAACAGTTTTTTTTTTTTTTTTTTTTTTTTTTTTTTTTTTTATGATTTAGAAAGAGGCAAATAAATAATTATGTAGGGCGCACCTTCGACGGTGGCGAGCCGCTTCTTGGCCTGTGCCCACGTGTCATGTAACGTCATTGCTGACGTGTATACAATAATTGGTTAGTTACGTATTTTCGTGACATTGGTGCTGTATTTAACTTTGGAAAGATCCCAATTTTGTGAATGAATAACGGTTTTATTTACTCACTCTATATTTTGTTTTGAGGAAACATAGATTCTTCATGTCCCTGTGAAATGACTAATGAACCTCTCTTTGGTTAAACATTCCACTAATCAAAATATGAAAATGTGGCAGTGTTCGTTAAATGACTTTTTGATTGGTTGGTTTTTTATATGGTACAATTGCGTGATTAAAGTGTTTGTTGAATTTAATTTTTCAGATAAATAAAAAGTTGACTTTTAAGAGAGAAAAAAAAGTTGGTCGAAATAGCTTTTGCTCATGGATTTAGACGTATTGGGGTATATGATCAATTTAGCTAGTTTTTATGACCTTATGAATTTTTTTGGCATCGTTAAATATAATTTGTATATTTAAATAGGTTTACATACAAATGATGAATTTACCGAACACTTTTAATTTGGTTATATAGCTAACCTATAAGTCAATAGAACAACTAGTCAAACCCGCTAATTGAAAAAGCCGACATCTTACAACCAAAAAGTAATTGCTAACCACACTTGCTCTTTTACACTCAAATGTACCATAAACGTTAAAGATTTTTTTTTAATATAAAAACGTTATGATTTCATTCATTCTTATCAAGTACCCCAAAAATGTTACGGAGTAGATCAATGCATAAAAATGTCGGTCCTTACTTGTGTGGTGTATCATTGACTTATATATATGTTGCCATTGAAATTCGAAAATGTGAGTAATTAATAATACAGAGCAATAAAAAAAAAAAATAGTTTCCATAAAATTGGAAAGATCCCTTGAGATTCCATTCCCCTATATTAGCACTTTCTCTCTCTTCTTCTCTTAAAACATTCTCACTTCTCCACCGTCTCTTCCTCTCAATTCGTGTCCGCCGCTATTAAATTTTTAATCTTTCATTTTTTCCGTACACCTTTTGAAATTTCAGGTACTTTCAATTCTTTTTCTCCTTTCATTTCATTTTTATACTATTTCATTAATTTCTTCATTTTTTTCGGTGATTTTGTGATATTTTTAACTTCTTTAATTTTCTGATTTTATTGGTTCATGTGAAATTTCTATTCTAATTTTTCAACCTTCAGATTTTGCCATATTCTCTGTACTGAATTTGAGTGACAAATTTTTAATCTTTAATAAAATTGACAAATAATAATGCTAAGGGCCTTAATTAATTATGTTTTACGATATAAATTTGAAGTGATTTTTATATGCCTTTTCATACAATTACGGCAAACCTGAGTCATTTAATCCGCAATATAGATTTGTAGAACACAAAATTTTTTACTTTGGGATTATTTATGTGTTCAAATCTTTATTAGCTGCGTATAAAATTATGGAAAGATGATACTACCTCTAATTCTGTAAACTACTTCACCTACCCCTGTTTGACTAGATATGTGAATTGTTTTGTTCTAATAAGCTAAGTAAAGTGGGACGGAGGGAGTATTTTAAAATACGTTTTTAACACGATTACGGATAATAATGATAATACTGTACCTTTTTTATGTAAATTACGTAAATGAAATGATGCGATCAAATATGTAAAGTTTGATTACTAATACTGTAAGATATTCATGTTGCAACCATTTGGCTATTCCACAAGTTTTTAGGAAGGCGAATAAAATAACAAGTTAGGCTCTTGCAATATTTCACTAGTTGAAAAGGTGAATAAATTAAGGCGATAGTAGGATTTGGTTGATTAAAAATAAATGTTAAAAACGGATTTGGTTGAATAAAAAAATAGGTAAAGATGATATGAGAATTTTAATTTGGGACGAGCTTTGAGTAAAATGATATATTTATGTGAAAACGGAGGGAGTTATGCATACAAATTCACACATGGTTTTTGTTCTACCCACTTGTTCATGTCTTGGTTAGCAAAAAAACAAAAAAAAAAACAAAAAAAAAAAAAAAAAGAAAAACTTGTACTTGTCTTGGAGCTTTTTATATCCTTTGATCAAGTTACTTAATTATGTTATGGAACTTCGTTTATCATGTATTTAAACTTGCTGAATTAGGGGTCTATTTGTTTAAACTTATGTTATCCAATTTTGTCTGAAATAAAATTCACTTGAGTTTTGACACACCCTTATATGACTTTTGCTGAAGTGAAGATAAGTTCCATTAATGTAATTTCTGACAAATGAGTTGAAACAAACAAAGCCTAGTTGTCATCTTAGTTGCTTGTTAGTCTAAGAATCATGTTTGAAAATGTTTTAGCTCCTCTTTGTACACTACATGGAATAAAGTTTTGCATGTGCTCTGTTTCATATTGTGTACTTAGTTTATGAATTTTGATTGATTTCTTTTTTTGACAGAATGGGATATTTCCTAGATGCAATTGGGAATACGGTGTGTCTATGCTGATATTATCTTAAATTGTTTTGAGATAGTTGCTCGAGTTGCTGTTATGGACCGCAGGGATACATCGGGATTTGTCAGTGGAGGAGGTCTACAGCTCTATGAACCTGCATTGCACATATTGTTGCCACACCTTTGTTTATACTAGTTGGTTGATAAGTATTCTTTCAAATAAATTTTATGTTTAGATATCAATTAGATGATAAGTATTCTTTCAAATAAAACAAGATGGATGGCATCCACAAGCCTTTCATGTGGAATTCTTTTCTGGATAGATGCAAAGATTCAAATGATACTGATGCTGGCTCGAGTCATTTAGTGGATACCACCTTGCGACTACATTCCCAGAGCGTTTTAGCTGTACCCTCTTATTTGTATGATGCTGGAGCTAGGCAAAGAGTAACAAATGCAAGTGATGAAGTGAATTTAAAGCATGAGATTTCTCTGGCCCTTGAATTGGGTAGTTCCCTAGATGGCAAGATCGAATATGCTGCTTCTAGGACTGCCTTAACTTCGCGAATAGATGTTGGAAAGGAGTCTCCAAATGATATTTGCCTTGATCTCAACATTGATCTGGGAAATAAATTAGCTTGCAAGGACTCGATATACTCTGGCAACAGTCTTGAAGCACCTGAGAAGGAGAAACATATGGTTGACCTTGAGTTAAGCTTGTCTACTGCAGCTGCAGAATCTGATCTCACTAGTGTCACCCTGACTTCATCGCCTATTCAAAATGTGACATCTGAATTTGAGCAACTTGTGGATGAAGGATCAACATCATCTAAATGGAAACGAGGACCTGCTGTGCCTCTTGTAGATAGGTTCAATGTGAACCCAATTTCAGTTGTCTCAAATGTCCCGGCTGTCTTGATCTCTTTACCAAGGCCCAGAACAGATGACGCCACTTCTTGTTTCAAACAGCAACGCAAGACCTCAGTTAAGACTTGCCAGTTTCCTGGCTGTCAAAAAGGTGCAAGGGGTGCTTCAGGTCATTGTATTTCCCATGGAGGTGGGCGAAGGTGTCAGAGAACTGGTTGTCAAAAAGGAGCAGAAGGCAGGACTGCATTTTGCAAGGCCCATGGTGGTGGTCGAAGGTGCGAACACTTGGGGTGCACCAAAAGTGCTGAAGGGCGCACTAATTTCTGCATCGCACATGGAGGTGGAAAGCGATGTGGTTTTCATGGAGGTTGCAACCGTGCTGCAAGAGGAAAATCCGGCCTTTGCATCCGTCATGGTGGTGGAAAGAGGTGCAAGATTGAATACTGCACCAAGAGCGCTGAGGGGCTTGCTGGTCTCTGTATTGCTCATGGAGGTGGTCGCCGTTGCCAATTTCCTGAATGTACTAAAGGTGCTCAGGGAGGTACAACACTCTGTAAGGCTCACGGAGGAGGAAAAAGGTGCACCTTTTTAGGGTGTACCAAAGGAGCTGAGGGAAGCACGCCTTTCTGTAAAGGACATGGTGGGGGAAAGCGATGTTCATTTCAGGGAGGTGGTGTCTGCACCAAGAGTGTACATGGAGGTACCTTATATTGTGTTTCCCATGGTGGTGGCAAAAGATGTGCCTTCCCTGAATGCACTAAGAGTGCTAGGGGACGTACAAACTTCTGTGTTCGCCATGGTGGAGGAAAAAGGTGCAAAAGCGAAGGATGTGAAAAGAGCGCACAGGGAAGCACTGATTTCTGCAAGGCACATGGAGGAGGTAAGCGCTGCCTGTATGGCCAACAAGGTTCGGGATTTGGTGGAAATGGTGATAGCCCTTGTGATAAGTTCGCAAGGGGTAAAATTGGTCTTTGCGCTGCCCATTGTGCACAAGTTCAAGACAAGCGAGTCCATGGAGATGGTACAGTGGGCCTGAAGATGAAAGAAATTGCTGCTGAGAACATTTTTGCATGCATGAACAATGTTGGCACAGAATCAAGCTCAACTGTTTGGAATGGTTTCAATCTGCCGATGATCCTGCCTGATGACAAGCCCTTGTTGGATCAGTCTGGTCAGTCTTCAAATTCAGCATCCCTTGAAGGAAGGGTGCATGGCGGAGGTCTTATGGCTATGCTGAGACAGCTCTGATCTCGAACACTGTCTGTCTTAGATAACCATTGAATGGGAATATGGATAGTGAACAGGGGAAGTTTTTATCTTAATACATGTTTGTGACATTTGATAGCTTTCTTTCATTGTTCTGGCATAGTTTAATCCTCAAAAACTAAGGTATGATAGTTGAATATTAGCGAAGTTCTAAGGTTAGTGTTAGCATGCTCATTTCGCTAGCAAATGGTGTTAGACATTGTTGGTGTTAGTACTGAATTTGTTTCTCTACATTTTTTTCTTTTTCTTTTTTTATATTTTTATTTTTGGGAAAGGGTAAGGAAAAAGGGACATTAGTTTGTCATGATTGTAAATGTTTTGTGAATATAGATCTCTAATCTGTAGTCCGTTAGTATCATTTAGCAAATCTTCTCGTGAGTACATTAGTTTTGATGGTTATGTGATCGGTTGAGGTTATTGGACAAATTAGAGTCAAAGCATGCCTAATATGGCTGGTCTCATCCTTTACTTGTGAATTTATAAGGAGGGTTCCCTTATTAGGGTTATTTGGACTTTGATATGTAATACGTATTGAGTTACTCGTCAATTTCGGTTTTCAGAGAAAATTCCATTCATTTCAAGGCAGAGCAAACAAACTGCAATTATGCCAATACTTAGCTCCTGTTTTTAAGCATATAGTGAAAGAATGTAGTTTGAAATCGTTGAAGTATGGCCAAGAAAACACTAGGTTGGCTATCCTATCACTGAGGCAGAACTAACACTAAACCCTACCTACGATATGCCTGCAGAACAAATATCTCATATTACACTGCCCATCACATATTCAATGGGGCAACTTGATCACAACAGGGACAACACAAACATTATTTCTGATGTATGCATATTGCACCACAAAGCCGTGCCACATAACGAATATTGAGGATGTTGCAAGCTCGAGATTTTCAGACCCTTCATTTTCTGCCCCTCAAACTTGTATAGGAAGCATGATTGCTTATGCATCCTCTTTGCTTAGTCTAAACTTTCCTCACCTGAATATTATGGGTCGATGGGGATCGCCAAATAGGCTGCTTACCACTTTGAACAATAGCAATCTCATCCCCTTCCTTCACCATACCTTGCTTCTGTAAATAGATGTTTCCATATTAGCAATGCACATATTGGGAGTTCTTAGGGCATGCGTTAAAAACATAATTTGCAAGTAAAATGAGATTCAGTAGTATGGATTAAGCATTCTGTAAGATAATAGCCAAGTTGTTCATTGGTTATTTGCCATATATTCAATGGATATCTTTATCTTTGAAGGAAGGATAAAATAAAGGACAGAAGAACAGGATTCTGCAGTCAGAAGATATATGGATGATGGTTCTTCCAATTTTGAGGTTGTTACTGTTCCACCATTCTCTTGGTAATTTCCAATCAAAATATACTCCAGGATAATAGAATGAGTCACTTTGTGGGACTCTTTCCATGCATCAAAGTCGATAGATAAGTAGTTAAGTACTAACCCCTCTGTTGTTAAGTAATACTTCCACCGTTTTTTTACTTGCAGAACTTAGGCTTATGCACTATCAATATACTCCACTTTGGCTAGCTCTGATAGTCTGATAATTTATAGTTAAGGAAAAATCATGTAGGGACTTGTTAAATTCGCCTCAATTTATACTTTCTTAATATCAAAATTTTATTTTTTATACATATTGGTAAGCAGATATATTAGTGATTGAAATAATGCATTGACAAGCGGAGAATGAGAAGTATTGCAACTTTGCAAGTTATATAAAAAAGAGGAAGTATGCTGCAATTAATTGTAGGCCATAATTCAGCCAAAATTCCACAAGACGATAACTATCGTTCTCCAATCTCTATGCAAGTCTTTGACATCACTATGCCACAAGGTAGGTTTTTTTTCTTTTTATTTTTAATAAAGGTATCATTACGGGTATTATGAGTAAGTTGAAAGTTTAACATGTAAGTTAACAAGTGGCTACTATATTTTGGACCACCCATAAATTATTAAGAGGTTATCAAAGGAATGTGTGTTGGAGGTTTGACAGACAGTTCGTATTCCCTAAATTACGCAGCACAGAAATCACAAGTCACAACATACAGATGGTGACCAATCAGCAATGTCTAGAAAGTGGCAAGGTGTAAACTTACTTGCAGAAGAGTTAAAGCCTTTGAGAACGTTTCCTCAGAGTCATTGGAGAACTTCATATGTAAGGGACATACACCTTGGTACAGTGCAAGCCTTTGTTGTACCCTCTTACTGCAGAAAATTCAAAGAGGCAGACATTATAATGTTTCCTTATATATACAGTATAAGATGAGTTCAGATAACTTGGATTACATTTACGTTCACACCTCAACAATGAAGACAAAAACATAGAAGCCTCAACAAAACATATCGTAAGTTCGTAACAACAAACTAAAGCATGATATTCAGTGCTGGATCAAATAATAATAATAATAATAATAATAAATTTCCTATATGACTAATCACAACAATTCTAGCTAGAAAATGAATTATCTGGCCTATTACACTTGAGGAACATAATCGGATGGTAAAATCAAATGTATCTCCAACCTAAAGTACAACAATCTAATACTCTGTATATTTCAGGTAAAATATTGATCCAAGGTAAACCATGCATCTGCCTGTGAAGTGTGAACAAGGAAAAGTCACATTTATTTTGCCAAAAAAGTTCCCATCTGCATTGCAATATATGTAACCGGTATATTTTCAGATATATAGATTGAAGAAAGGATACTTACTCATTTGTGAATGCAAATATTGTTCCAGAAGGCCGATAATGGCTCAGTAGGATGGCCATAAAACCAGTTCTGGTGAAGACTACAATTGAGGTCCCAAGAGTATTAGACATCATGGTAGCATGAAATGCAAACATTTCACTCATATGGTTCTGCACACACATCATATTACATAATCAAAAGTTGCACCTAAAAAAATACTTTGACAATTTATAATAACACGATAAATGAATGAATGTGCATCCACTTAATTTAGAAAAGAAATTAACCTTGAATACTTGACCAAGACTATGTGATGTTTGAGCAACAGCAGAAGCACCGTCCAAGGTTGCTTCAGTTCTCAATGAAACAGTGTGCATAACCTTGACAGCTTTAAGGGGGAATCTGCGAAATAGTGACAGGCAGTAATTCTCTTTAACACCAAGCATTTAAAAATCTCTCTAGAGCATGTGAAAACTATAAGGTCTATTGCAATCAATCAGATGAAAGAAATCTAAGACAAAAAGACATACTTCCCATGAGCAGTTTCACCAGAAAGCATAACAGAATCAGCACCCTCTCTAACGGCAATGGCAATATCAGATACCTCAGCTCGTGTCGGTGTTGGGTGAACAATCATGCTTTCTAGCATGTTTGTAGCTACAATCACAGCTTTGCCCATGCTGCGGCACAATCGTATTATCTCTTCCTGCATTTAGCAAATAGAAGTTTATTTCAGCCCAGTAGCTAAGTTTCCACAGCTTTAAAGACGCCTTTACAAATTAAATGTCCAAAAACTACCTGTAGAAGAGGAACCTCCTCAATGGGAAGCTCAGCACCTAGATCTCCTCTAGCCACCATAGCCTATAACATAAAAGCAGAAAATTGTAAGGTTATCCAGCATTTTGAAGCAGACAGACTACAAAGAAGTATTCGAAACAAATTGTTTAGTAACTAGTGGCCATCATAGCCTATAACATAAAAGCAGAAAATTGTAAGGTTATCCAGCATTTTGAAGCAGACAGACTACAAAGAAGTATTCGAAACAAATTGTTTAGTAACTAGTGGCCATCCTCCACCACTCAAATATTCTATACACTGTTGACTGTTCTTACTCTTTTTCACAATCCCACTCAATGGTCCTCGTGATAATTATTATCCTTCACTATCTAATAAACTTTAATGCATTACAGATAACATCCAAGCCAAAACTAAACATATATTTATCTTGGTGATCTAAGTGAAGGATTAACAGGCTAATGAAGTCAGTGTCCACAACTGATGCTTTGGCAGTTGGGTGGTCGTTAACCATGGTGATCTAAATGGAGAGAATTAACATGATAATGAAGCCGGTGTCCACAATACTGATGCTTTGGCAGTTGAGTGGCCATTATTTGCAGCAACATGTTTATCATCCTGATGCCTCTAAAGAGGCTCCTACATTGGGCGAGAAGGGAAGTCAGATGTACACAACCTTACCCCTATTATGCCAATTGATCCTTAGTCCACTATTGCAACTGCAGCTTGCTGCCTCACATTGGGAGTAACAATGAAGGACATCTAATTAGCCGTTTTTAAGACAGTTTAAAGAAGGTGTTCTATATTGAGACATAACTTACATCATGATACTCGTCAGAAAACCACAATCTTAATGTCCTGAAGCAGATTAATCATTTTTTGAGAACAGTTACTGAGTAATAATAATGAATTGCTCACCCCATCAGCAGCAGTAATAATTGAATGCAAATTCGGTATGGAGTCTGCACTCTCAATTTTTACAATGACATGGATATCAACACCACGACCTAAGAACCAAAGCAGTAAGAAAATTAGTTTAGGAACTAAAGTAAATTATATGCTTACTTAGAACATCATTTTAGCAGTTATACTCAGCCTGTGTATTTACTTTTCAGATAGTTTTTCAATTCATGAACAACAACTTCATCTTTGACAAATGAGACAGCATAGAAATCAACTCCATTGTCTACCCCGAACTTGATGTCATCCCAGTCCTTTTCTGCAGCATCCACAAAGAGAGTTACTCTAAAAATAAAAAATAAAAATAAAAATAAAAAGATATAAAAAAAATGACAGAGCTACAAAATAAGAAGGCTAATAGATGTGATCTATATAGAAGGATAAAACAGATCAACAGAAAATCATGTCACCAACCAGTAATAGATGGCAATGTAGCACTTTTTCCCCTGACATTTAAGTGTCTCCTTGACTTAAGCTCTCCACCATCAACAACTTCACACTTCACAGAATCTTCCGTCTTCGACTTCACCAGTAAGGACATCATACCACCTAACCAGCATTATAAAATCATTAAAAATGATTTAATTTAATTCATTAGCCAGAAACATGAGAATAGCAGGCATTTATAAAAAGAAAATACACATTTATGATGTCCAACATACACCGAGGCAATTTTGCCAGAAAACTATCAGAAAGGCTCTATATCAGCCACAAGAGACAGAAATTAGAGACATAGTCTTCAAAGAATACAAGACCAAATGATCTTTTTTCTGTCAAAATAAAACGCTGAGAGACCTTGAACATCTAGACAGAGCATGTATCTTTTACATCCTTCACTCCCAAAATTGAAGCTGGTAAATTGATAACAGACTGGCAGCATTGACTGAACTCATAAGGCAGACAGATGTATATGCACAATAGGCCACAATACAAGGAGATTGTATCATCAGATACACATTTGTTTCTCTCATGAGAAAAATGACTTCTAGTATCCTGTAAGAAAATATATGAACCACTAGCCTACACTAGGGACAATACAACAAATACAACAAATCTCAAAGGAGATAATATATGTTGCCTCTTTAGCCAGTGAGTAGATTGCAATCAGCAAAATAGGAGTGCATGATGAATAAATAGGACTAAATCATAATTGTACACAGTCCCTTAGTTCAAGTTAGTGTGTGCAGATAACAACTAGGACAGGACTTAAAGTGAGTTCATACCATCAACAAGTAGCATATCGCCTTTTTCTACATCATTCACAAAATCATCATAGTTGACACTGACACAGTCTGCTGTGCCTACTCCTCTTTTGATTGTGAAAGTGAATTCTTGACCACTTTCTAAGTTAATTGGTTGTGGCAAATCACCACTCCTGACCTCAGGTCCCTGGAAAAAAGTAAAACAAACATCATTGTAATTATTCCCATCAATGAAAACGTATAAGCCTCACATAGTCACATATGCTGATATAGTCAATTATATATACAAGTATCATAGACCATCACCTTATAGCTAATTATGAAACAAGTTTTGACCATATTCTAGACTAATATGAACTGTATTGAGTCTATTGACTGATACTTGTGAATTCCAATAATTAACTGATGCATTATCCTCTCCTTGGGCACAAAACCCATAATTGTTTATATATTTACTTTGATAAGATATAATACTTCCTTTGTTCTCTATTGATCACACCATATTCCTCTATAAAAAGTTGCATAATAATTGCAACATTGCTTTATTTGGCTAATGGCTCTTTCTATCTCTCTCCTCCTCGCATGAGTTTTTTTTCTCTCTCTCTCATCTTTTAACATATAAGCATACAATGCAATCAAACTAACCTATGACTATAGATTACCTCAATGTCTATCTATGGAAAATCACAGTGACCAAAACAGGCCCTAGAAGGGAGAGGGATTTACACTGCAGCAGCTCATGCATGTGAATTTCAAATCTGAAATATAAATAAACAGTAGACAACATCACTACACCTTGCAAAAGCTGATCCAGAATGGCAGCAAAACACACACTGGACAGAAAATAAGCAGGCTAGTGTTTAGATTGGTACATCTGTTTATTCAAATAGGTCAAAACAACCATTTCATCTAGTTGGGTTTAGGGTAAATTATCAAGCACAGAAGGTATTCAAACCTGTTTAACAGTAACTATACAAAATATCAAATTTGCAAAAAGGCGGAAAATAGTTGGCAAATCTAATTAGACACTTGAACATGTCAACATAATAAAAGATCAAGGGTTGGCGATAGCTGAATTAATGCAACAAAACAGCAACTACCCCTCAAAAAATGGATGCCTACCATAAAAATTTAAACCCAGCACAATGTGAGTCTTTCGCTAACTCAACCATCAGGCAGCGTGCAGTACAAGATCAAATGTACTAAATATATGTTCCTACAGCTATAAGCCTATAACAGTGTCAATATAGAAAGGTCGATTTGGCCAATAAGAAGAAAAAATTTCAAGCAGTATCAACAAAGTAGTCGGTAAATGAGAAGCTATGCTCACCTTTGTATCGAGCATGATAGCAATGACATTGTCCTTGGATTGAGCATTATATTCCTTGACCAAATCAATGACTTTCTTATGAGATGTATGGTCTCCATGGGACATATTTAGTCGAGCTACATTCATCCCAGCTTCAGCAAGCTTCCATATCATTTCACGTGTATCAGTGGATGGACCAATGGTGCAAACAATCTTTGTTTTGCGCCCAACGATTGGCTTAGGCTTAGACCACCTTCCAGCAGCTGCTTCCCCAATAAGATGGGTTCCGCTTAGGTATTCAAATTGCTCTCCTACCTGAAGACTCAAGTTAATATTAACCAAGTAAACGTTTTCCAAATTCAAAAAATCACAATTTTAAGAAAAAAAAAAACCGTTTCATTTAAGCTAATTGATAAACACCTATGTAACTCACACCCAGCTAAAAGTGTCTGGATATCAAACACGGCCATTTTATAACAATTTTGCATGAATTTGGTCCAAATTTAAGTGTCAGTGTATCATACCCACAACAGTATATGACATGGGTACTTGAGGTGAAACGAAGCATATCGTTAACACAGAAGATCACTAAATCCAATTACTTTAACCATTACTAATACATCAGTCAGCTTTCTGGACAAAATTCAGGGATATACCTCCAAAATTACACCCAAATCATAAAAATAAAACAAATCCCCTGACAAAATCTAATAATCAAGCAGTAAACTAGTCCAAAAATGCAATCCAATTGTAAAAAAGCTCAATTAAGCGAATTTAACAATTAAAAGACACCCATGTAAAAAACTATACAAACCTATAAAACTGAAAATGTAAAGATAAAAAGACAAACTTTTTCCTACATTTTAAAACCCACAAAAGAATTTATAAAGGGAATAAATTATATTTAGAAAATAACAACAAAAATAGATAAAATAACAAAAATGGTGACCTGGGTATCGTCTTCAGGGGAGACAGGAATAAGCTCAGGGTAAGCAGACCTCTTGGCAGAGACAGGAACGGCCGTGCGGCGGCAGGCACGGGGGTAACTGGTACTCCGGTGACGGCGGAGGTTAAAAGGGAGGATTTTGACTGAGCCAAGAGTGTCAGATTTGGGAGAAGAAGAGCAGGAAAGCATGGTGTGAACAGAGCCATGGAAGATAGCTTGAGAAGAGGCAGCCATTGAAGAGTAGGAGAGAGAATTAGCAAGATTTGTGTTGAAAGTGAGATTGTTGTTGGAGAGTTGGCGACAGTGTTGGATATGAAAGCAAGCAAGAGAAGGAGAAAATTGATTGTGCTTCGATTGTATCGAAGAAAACAGTGTGATGTGTGGTTTATGACAGGGAATTTGGGAGGGTTTGTAGTGGGTAAGACTATAATAGGCAATTGGGTGATCTCCTTTTTTGTTTTCTTTGCTAATTTCTAAGATTTACAATAAAGTATAGCTTAGCCCCCCGTTCTTTTTAGCTCTCTGTTCTGCTTTGTTGAACACTGCTCTGTTTTGCTCTGTTGAGCCCTGCTTTGCTCTGTTGAGCCCTGCTTTGCTGAAACCTGTTTTGCTTTGCTAAAACTTGCTCTGCTCTGCTTGTCCAGAAAGCTCAAAAAAAACAGGATCTTTGTGAACATCAGTAATATGTAACAAAATATAGAATTAATAAAAAAAAATACAAAAAATAGCTTTAACTCTTTTATAATTCATCATTGGAAGCACAGGCTAAAACCCGAGGCGAGATTACATCGTTCCACACTCTTTGCCCAACCTTTCGTGGTTGAAGGTGAGCTAAATCATGCGCTACATTATTTCTCTCTCGTTTAACAAAAGACTTAACGAACACTAATAAAACTAGAACACAAGTCAATAATATCATCAAAAATTAAATAGAACAAACTAACACCCTTAGAACTATTTTGTATGAACAAGGCGCATATATAAGAGTTTAACAATGACATGACATCTAGTGTAAATATAAAAATCTATAGCTTAAGTAGTACTCCTTCTGTCCCTTATTTTTTTGCCTCATTTGACTTTTCACGGTTTTCAAGACATGTCTTCAAACGTATATATCTTCATTTCTATACGCGTAAAAATTATAAAAACTTAATATTAATAAAATATATTACGAGATGATTCTAACAAGATCCCACTTGAATATATTATCACTTATAGATTAACGAGAATTCATGGTCAAAGTTTTAAAAGTTTGACCCATATATTTGCAATGAGACAAAAAATAAGGGACGGAGGGGGTATAATTCAAAAATATTGCTAGCACCCAAATGTTATTGAGTGATACTATCTAATGTAAACATAAAAGTATGAAAAAATTAATATCAAATAATTGTTTTTTTAATGCCTATTGTAAACATATAATGTAAAAACAAAGTATCTATAACTTATGGAGTATAATTCAAAAAAAAATCTAGCAACTTATTGTTCTAAATGTTAAACTAAAAAATAATATTCGAACCAAGACCAAAATAAGACCAAAGACAATTTTTTTATTTTTCTGACTTGGAGATTGGATCAGTTCTCTTCAATCTGGTCCCATCTAGTCCGATAAAGTTTAAAGCACTATGTACCACTAGAAAGATAAAATTTTAAAGGGACAAAGTAAGAAGGAAAATGCGGCAAAATCAAGGTACGGAGGGACTATCCTTAAAAAAAAAAGAGGTACGGAGGGTTCATAATATTGCACTCCCTCCGTCCCTTTATTACATGTTCGTTTCTCATTTTTTACGGAAATTACGAAGGAATGAGAGTAGGGGAGTATTATAATCATTATATGGGAAAGAAAAAAAAGTTTTTATAAGATATATTACTCGAGTATATGGAAAAGATAAAAAATAATTAGTGACATATTGGAAATAGGTGTATTTTATATTAAAAATGTTTAAAAAAAAACATTTGATAAGAAGGAAATTTATGGTTGTGCAAGAGAATTTTATACGAGAAAGGTAAAAAGTTATGTGGATCATGATCAAATTATGTACTATAATCTTTGGCAAAAGTTAACGAACGCCCTAGGGGCGTTAGATAAAAAGACTTGACTTGAAATAATTAATTACAACAATCGACGTGTGATTTTGTCATGTATTCCCAAATTAAAACCATTTTAGGAAGTATAATTGATTGTTATCTAATGTCCCGAGACGTTCATTAGCAAGATTTATAACATTTTTTGAAACAGGCTCAGCATTTTGGGTCACCCAAAACATAAAACAGGCACGTAATAAGATCTTGTTTGACAAAATTAGTGGTAGCGGGTAGCTTTTAGCGATTAAGTAGCGGGTAGCTGTTATAGTAGCGAGTAGCTGTCAATTAATAATGGGGTATAGGTTAGCGGTTAATACAACGGCTAATAGTATAATTGTTTGGTAAAACTAACGGTTGAAATGTTAAAATACTATAAAAATACATGCATAATATTTATAAAGTAAACAAAATTTGTCAAAAACTACCCGCTACCTTTCAAATGCTAATATTATTAACGTTTTAGCTGCCTAAACACTACATCTACTACTAATCGCTACATAAATCGCTACCTTACCAAACACACTTATATTTTCCTACTACTGTTTTAACTTGGTCCAAAAGTAAATGAGCCAATTTAAGAAGGATATACTTCTTAAAAAATCGTGAAATGCAAAATGAGCCAAAGCGCGGGAGAATTGGAGAACACTTCCCGCCAACACAACCCCTAAACAACTTCAAACCCTTCTGCAATATCCATTTCCCAGCTCTCCTACTTTCTTATCAATCTCTCTTCTTCTTCGCAATCACTGATTTATTTTGATCATCTGCTTACTCGTAATCTTACATTTTGGATCCCCAATTTTCCCAATCAAGCTTTTAATAGTGATTTCTACCCCTTTTTTTTTGGTAAAACCCTAATTTGCAGGTCTCCAAAATTACTCAGCAATGAATACAGAAGGTTTGTCAGTAATTTGTGGTGGGCTTGGGTCAATTGAGGAGGATGAGGGAAGTGTTTATTACTCCAGAGATGATTACTGTTTAGGTAAAAAATTGTTGATTGAACAAAACCCTAATTTTTGTTTTTCCGATTTTGTCAGATTTTATTTATTGCATTGTTGTGATTTTGATTTGTTTGGCAGATAATCTGAAGGATTTGTTGAGGTTTTTGCGTCGAGATGATCCGACAACTCGGGATGTGTTTAAACAAGTGTGTAAATGGGACATTGTGTCAAAGAATTTGATACCCATTATTGAGCATTGTCAAGATGATCGCAATTTGGTCTTAAATGCAGGTATATGATTAATTTTAGATGAATGAAATGTTGTAATTGAGATGAATATGCGGTGAATCGAGGCTAATGATGGTGATTTCTGGGTTTGCAGTGAAAGTATTGGTGTTTCTTACTATGCCTTTGGAGGCTACTTCAAAGGATTTCAATGAGCAGCTTGAATACCTTTGGGGTATTAAGTTTGCTATCACTATCAGTGATATGGTTGCCGTGATCCTCTCGTTGTTGGAGAAGCCACTTGAAAATTTAGAATGGTATGCAGAAATTGAGCTCTTTATTCTTGAAGTTGCTTTGTCTAAACCCCTTATGTGTATATGTCAATATGTGTGCACAAGAGTAGGGATCTCACTTTCAATTGGTTTTGAGATTAAATTTACACGAGCTCATGTGAATTTACTCTCCTTCCCTGTAGCCTAGGTTTAATTTGATTGTTGCTTCAAACCATAGGGAAATTGTTCCGAACTCGGAAGAGCTTTGAACTGCGTTTGATTTATGCTTATTCTGTACACTATTAGCAGCACATTTTTGTGTGAATGTCAGAACTTAATATCACTTTGTAGATCATATGGGCTCATCCCGCTTTGCTAAATGTCTAAATTGATCATCTTGAAATTACTGCTTATTTGTTTACCTTTTTTTTTTTTAATTTTTTTAAATTTTCTTCTATTAGTTTGTGGAAATGCATGGTGACTTCCGGCCTTATTGAAGCGTCCTTCTATCAAACTTAAGATTAAATAGGGCTGGATGGACACATTCAAAACTCTAGACTTGACTTTGGTGGGAACTATAGTGGATTGTTGTTTGATATGTCAACATAAAGGCTCAAAGATATGTAATTTTTAGTTTATTATTAGCATGCTTCTTTCATTCAGTTTTCATGTTATTGCCGTGATCTCATTACTGCTTCTGTGCTGAGCAGTAACGCATTCTCAGAGGATGATTGGAAGCTGGTCCAACTGGTTTTGACACTATTCCGGAATATTCTAGCTGTGCAAGACATCTCTGCGCATCAAAAGGCATCGGGTTCTGCAAGTTTATATTTATCCTTGCGAGATGATTTCTTAGACCTATTGTTCAGAGAAAATGTTATGGATTTGATTATCATTATAACTCAGCATGTTGGTAGTTCTTGTCGGTATCTTCGGCATGACAACTTGCTCTTGTTAGAAATATATCATCACATATTTACAGGTCAAGATGCAGAGTTAATTGCTAAAATCTGCCTGGAGGAATCAAAGGTTGGCTTTCTTGCCTCTTCTTATGACATTTAAGCTCCAAGTTTGAGACTTCATTCTCGTCTAGTTATGGACTCAAACTTCTTAAGCATTAAAATATTAATTTGTAAGAGTTTCTTATGCAATGTATCTACTCAAAATTGTCCCATATGAGTAAATAATAAATACATGATTTTTATGGCTTACTTGATCAAGTTGTGCACCATCACTCTAATAAATCATTTTTTCATTTTTTTTTTTTGAAATTCTTAGGTTGATGGAGAAGCCAAACCTTGTCTTGAAAGTCTTAAATGTATCATGCAAGAGGAAACCGAAAAGAGAAAACATTCCAGACTGCATGCTAGTCGGCACTCAAAGTTCAGTGGAGCCTTTACACGACTTACCTTGGTAAGAACCATCTGTTAATTGATGCCCGTTGTGTTATGGTTTCAAGTTAGTTACTAATATAAACCTCTTCCAACTAATAGGATGGTTCTAAAACAATGTGCATGGGAGTGCCTAGTTCTGCATCTTGTGATACTAAACTGCTGAAATCAGAGAAAGTCCACCGTGGTCCACAAAAAAAAATTGTGAAAGATTACACTCGACTTCCCACCACGAAACGAAGCATTTTGGAGAGGCTTCATGACTTTCTAAACCAATTTCTAATTGGGGGATACAATGGTATTGATTTTTAAATACATTTATATTTTCACGATTACGCTCTTTTTGTATCTGAACAGGTAACTGATTTGCATTCTCATCAGTGCTGATGCAATCCATTGCCCATGATATTGAGAAGGAGCACCATGCGATACAAACCAGTGATTTGCAAATGTTCTTTCACCTTGCTCAGTTTGTTACATTTTTTCAGTATCATAAATCCCAGCTGACAAAGGTGAGATACGTTTTTGGAATATGCACATGACTCCCAAGAGTTTACATGTCTATGGTTTTTCACTTTCTTTCAAAAGAATGGATGGCAAATGTGCCTTTTGATGCCCAGAAGTTGCTTACTGGATATACATGCATAAGAAAGAAAATAGTGTTTTGAAGAACCAAAGGATATTTTAATCATAAAACAGTATTTGAGCATTTTAGTTTATAATTCATATGCTTGAAGTGCAGAAGAAAACTGGTTAAGGGAATCTCTGATTGTAAAAGCTTATTAAAAAGTTGATGACTTTATATTTTATAAGCACCTGCTGCATAACTTTGGCACTTTCGGAAAATGTTCAAGTTCTTGTTAAAAATGGTCATCGGACAACATTTGGTAGTTTAATCGCTTATTATTGTTTATGCTTGATATTGTGTGATAATGTGATGTGTTTCTAGGGTCATTCTCATGAGCATTGCTTCAAGTCACTAACCTTGTATATATAAAGCAAGGGCTGAAAATCTTGTAATATAACGCATAGCATGTGTAAAGCATCATTAGTAGCTATCATTTTTCCTAATCTGCCAGATCAAATTGAGAGTAAGCATCGTGAAATGTGAGTACACGAATTATTTAATGCTTCACCTATTCATGTCAGAAACCCATACTCAGTTCAGTTCTTTAACAGATGTCAACTATTGTTTTGAGAAGACCAATTCCCATGAAGGATATACAGAATACACCCTATCATTACATGTGCTCAAATATAATGTTTTATAAAGATATACGTTCTTTGGAAGCTGTAGTTAGAAACAGAAATGTTGTGCAATTGCTTCATGATTGTGTAATCGAATTTCCATTATCTCTGGGTTCCTTTAGCTAACCTATACCTTTTCTAACAGCCAAATACAGATGTCAGCAATGATTCTTCTCTCAATGATGATGATGATGATGATGATAGCACATGGTTTAAAGGTGACATATGTGGGCCTATTGCAGCAACCATGAACGATTCAATGTTTATATTGGTAATAGCAAAGTGGCAATTAGCTTTTGAAGGCTTGAAGGAAACAAAGAACAATCCATTTTTGTCAATATCTGGATCTCTCATGAAAACTATGGTATAATTTTTTTTAATCAAAATTCTGCAACCACCTTCTATTATCATGAAACCAGAAAGGGAAAGAAAGGAATTGGTTTTCTTATCAATTTCTTTGTAATTATGTGGAAGACATCCACTGAAATGCTTGTTTGAAAAAACACTTAACCACGTGGATAAATAAATAGTGAATTGCTTATATATTACGTTTATGTTTCCTTTGTAATTTTCAGCTCTTCAAGTCAAAGTAAGCTGACCTGAATTGCCTTTTTTTTTCTTCCCATGTGTGCTAATGTGCTATAACATGTTTAGAATTTAAAAATGTGTCAAGTCACTCAAGTACCACTTCATTTTGCTTTGGTACCAAACTTGTAGCCGCACTGCTAAAGACCTATTGTATTTGATTAGGGAGATGTATGTTTTATCTATATACTATCAGTGAAAGAGGATTATAGTTTAGGTGATCTATTTTCCCAAATCAGTTAACCTGAGTCTTGGTTCTTCAAAAGCTTCTTCTATAAATTTTTTGTATAGTTGGAGGAATTTCTTGTAAAAAAAGGCATGTAGTCAGCTTTATATTTCAGCTACCGTCATCAATCCCTTTCAGTGATTTACTTAGCATTTTCACAACTTTGCACTTTTGGTTGCTTTCATTTACTGTGATGTTTCTGTCGTGAATTTTGATATGTAAGACTTAATTTTGGTGTTTAGAGGTGCGAAGCTGCTAAATCATCTGACTTGTGTCAGTACTAGCATGTTGGAGTTTTTATTTTTAATGTTATTATGGAAGTTAAAGTATGGAGAAGCTGCATTTTGCAACTTATTGTCTCCTGAATAATCTGTTGTATTTCTGTGTTATTGTTTAAACAGATCCGGATGTTGGATTTGGTGCTCAAGATGATGCCTGAAAAATCCAGAGAACCACAAACTGCTCGTATCATACTTTACAAGCTATTCTATGATCAAACTGATCAAGGGTTGACCAAATTCCTTTTGAACATGTTCCGATCATTTAATGCTCATAAACAGCCTAAAAGGTGACTTTCATCTTTTGTTATAGGGACATTGTTGTGTCATTTTAACTTTAAAGCCTTTATTATGAATTTACATTTTACAACCAATGTTGAAGTTTTTAGGCTGATCTTGCGAAGTGGTTTCTATTTTTACTACAAGTACTTATCTATTGCTGCCATTTTTTTTTTACCACTTTAAGTCTCTTTGTAAAATGTTATTTGTTGAGAATCTTAGGAAAACAAGGTTTCCCTGTTTAATAGTAATAGTGCACCTGTTTAATAGTAATAGTGCATACATATTGACCTTATGAGTCCTTTGTGTGGACTGTGGATTTCTTGCTGGGGTGAAAAAGTAATTACATCCATACAAATTTTTTTTTGTCCCCCATTTCCATACTTGAGCTGAAAGGTGTGTTGCCATCCATACTTCATGGGTCTATAAACTGTAGTTTGGAGTTGAAAAGTAATCATTTCTAGTGTTTTCTCCAATATGAATTCAAATTAGCATCTACTGACTGCATTACATCTTCTACTTCCACATTTTTTTTTGTAATTATTATAATTTTTTTATAGATAATTTTGGTTACATAGTTATTAATTGCTGCTATTCTATCTTTTGTTAGTGATCTTGCTGATCTGGTGGAGATAATTCATGTAGTTATAAGGCTAATGGAGAAGCTGCAAGCACATGGCACATTAAGGGTAATTAATTACAACAAGCCCTGCTAGCCTTTTCAATCCTCAAATGTTTTTAAGCCTGCAAGTTGCTTCTTTTTTTATGTGTATGTTTGATTAATGTGCTGAACCTGGATGAGGACCAGCATGTACTACCTTGTGCTCGACAGAGCTTGGTATACCTATTTATGAGCAATTATTTCAATTACGGAACCTTAATGTTTTGTTACCAGAGTATATCGGTTTGTTTGAGGGAAATAATGGTCACTTATTTCCATTACTCAGCCCTCGAGTAAAAGGATGATGAGCATCTTGCCTTTTCTTTCAGCTATAATGTTAGAGGTTAGCACCAGTAGCATCAGTATTTTCAATGATGTGTTCTTGGAATAATAGGACCTGGAAGGTGGTTTACTTGAGCATGAAAGTGTCACTTATAGCTCCTCTTGTGAAGAAATGCAGGCATACTATTTCTTACGGCTCTGATTTGCATGTTGTCACTTACTCACTTGATCCTACAATCTGTCTCTTTCCCACTCCTTTCTGCTTAATCTTTTTATTCATATTTGTATAGTTCTAGAATATTTCAAGGGACAAAAGCCTTATTCCTTTTAGAAGCAAATTTGTATCTTACACCTCTTAGTGATATTTACTGTTGATTTTCGTTCTGTTTTGGCCTTCTTCGTTGTTTTTCTTTATACATTTATTATGATGACCTTATCAATTGTACTGTGTTTTGAAGGTCGCCAAAAAAATCTAGGAAGGTAAGAAGGAAAAAGGATCAGAAAAATACAGAAAGCAAAGTTGTTGGAGATGATGCCACAATTCTGAATGGAATCCAGCCCTCCAATAACAAAGAACTTTTCACTGACACTGGAAATGGTATTAATGAAAGGTTGAATGAGACAAACTGTGACGAAAAAGAAAATGATAATATTAACGGTTGCAGTCAAGTTGATGAGACTAAAATATCTAGGGATGAGGGACAAAACTCTGATGGCAGTCTCCCTGTGGGTGATCACACAGAATCTGATCAAATTCATGACCCAGTAGGTGATGGAGAATCAAATCCAATAAATGAGCCGCTGGGTAATCATGATGAATCTAATCAAATCTATGACAACTTTGTTGCCATGGGAGCAGATGATTGTGATTCTTCTGCAGATGAGCAAATTACTGCAACAGATGAAGTTGATTTTAAGATGACTTCCTTGCTATTCTCATTGGCAAACAGTTCCATCATTAGTAACCTCTGTTGTTTATTGAAGGATTACAAGAGTAATTCTACTGCAACAAACCACTACATTTTATGCTTGCTCAGGAGGATTTCAGATGATTTGGATCTTGCTCCTATGCTGTATCAGGTGATCATTACAAGATTATCAATAGAAATTTATGTCTTTGCACATCAAATGTTGGTATTATTAGTAGGAAGGTATCTAATCCCCCCCTTTTTTAATTGACAGCTGTCCTTCCTCGTCATATTCTATGATATCCTAAATGAACAGAAGGAAAACCCACGTAAAGAGTATGAGAACATTGCGCAGTTTCTGACTAGTCTTATTAGGAGAATGCTGAGGAAAATGAAGGATCAACCCCTTCTCTTTGTGGATGTGTTATTTTGGAAGACACGGAAAGATTGCCATTATATCAATGTTGAATCTATCCAACGTGAAATTGGTGAAATGAAGAAGGAAGTTAAGAATTGGGGTCATGGTGATGATACTGGTCCATCACAACGCAAGAAATACTCTCATAAAAGCTTAGCAGATGCACTTGGAGATGATGAATATGATGTTAGCATCCCCAATCATCCTCATTTTGAGAAGTAAGATATCTATGTTCGGTATCAGCTTGAATATTCTATCACCAACCTGTATTTAATGCATTAAAATGACAAAAAATTGTCGATAACTCTATGGAAGTTTATGTTGCAAAGCTTAACATGTGTCTTAGTCGTCAAGGAGGCACTTCTTGATCTGAAGATGTTCTGACTCCTCACAAGTCATATTACATCAAGTTGTTCGTGGAAATTCTTCTTTTTTGACTCTCTCTCTCTCTATCCACAGGGATGAAGATTCTGATGAAGCTGCAGGAGAGGTCTTTCACAGCTATGGTCTTGAGGATAATACAATGTACATTCCTTAGAAATACAATCATGCCAATGATAGTCTTCCTACATTTTGTGCTTTGCATTTTCCTTAATAAAAATTTCCTTTTATTGCAGAATAGAGGATTCATTAAAGAGTGATTTTCAAGGGGACGTAAATAGGAAGAGAAGACTGGTTCTCAGTGATAAGCTGGAGGGAGAGATAAGGGGTCTTTACGAAAAGTATGTATACTTTGATGCAAGTTTTTTGTCTCATATAACCAAGCTGAGACTTTCTCCTAATAATTTTATAGATAAGTTTCATATGTTTTCTTGTCCATTAACACTTACTAGTAAATTAGGTTTGGTTTATCAATCCAAGTAAAAGTTGATATTTTATTGGATAGCTTAATTTGATACACAGCGTGTTAGTTTCTAACAGTGTATTGCATAATAATAGCTTCATCGTTGGCATGTCAGTTTATTGAGATACTCCTTGTAGTCATGATAACTTCATTGCAGTGTGAGGACCAGAATTTGGATCTGATTGTCAAATGATGATGAACATAATGTTGAAACTGAAAACCAAAAGTCTAAAAATAGAGTGGAACATGTAATTTATAAAAATTCTTTATGTTCAAAATCATAAGCACAATGCCCAGCATGCTGTACTGTTACCAAATGGTTTGTTATGAGATGGGGCCTACCCATTTAACTTATGAACAACTTGTACTGACATGTCTGGATTTGCATTACAGGTACAAGGACAATTTAAACTGTACTCAGCTCATCGCAGAAGCTCTTGATCCTAATGGTAATGTCTCTCCAGCTCAAGTGTCCCGCAAATGTAAAAAACTAGGATTACAACTTCCTTCGAAAAAGAGCAGCATGGCTCATCTTTTTAATGATAATGATCAAGACAAGGAAGGCAGACCAGAAATAGACAGCACTCTTCAGGACTTGAATCATGCAGATGGGCCCTCTTATCTGGGGAGACCAATGTAAGTTTCTATCACTTTTTCTGATAGTTCTATAGTTATCCTCAAAACAAAGTTGACCTGCAAAATGCGGACAAGTTGAGTCCTGTTTTTGACCTAAGTTACTGATTGAGGCTCTTCTCAGGCAAGCTAGGAAGAGAGTTCGTGCCATGGATGAAAAGCAGGAGCTGAAAATTAGAAGTCTATTTGAACAGTGAGTGTTTCTTTCGTGCTTTAAATTGAATAGACCTAAACTTTTCTAAACCAAGTGTATTATTCAGTTCTGAGTACTTCTACATAGAAATCTTCATTTTATCCAAAAGAAAATATAAAACTTAGATATCTGTCTAGTTCTTAGTTTTGATGTGTTTTGGGCAGTTTCAAAGATCATAAGAGGTGCAGCCACATGATTGCAAAAGAAATCGACCCTGATGGAGCAGTGACTGCTGCTCAAGTTTCTCGTAAACTCAAGAAACTTGGTTTACGCACTTCTCGAATGAAAGGTGAAGTAAACAGACAAAAGATGGATGAAGCTTCTACAGATGGAGAAGATGATATAGACGATCTAACTCTGTCTGCTGTTAGGAAAAGGTGATCATTGCTGCATTGTGCTGTTATTAATTCTAAATCTATCTCATGCTTAAGCTGATGCTTAGGTGCTGAACATTTTTTATGTTTATTCTATGCCACTGCTAATCTATATAATATCTGGTTATGTTTATTTTACTTATAGTACTATTATTCTTAACTCTTTCTGTCATGAACTGCGATGCACATGTTTTTTTCGAGGTTGTTTTTTTCTTTCAGAAATAGCAGACTGTCATGGGTATGGCTACTTCATGATGGCTTTCTCATGCCCTGTTTTATACCCGTTTAAAGTTGTATAAACTAGCTTTGACTCTTTTGTTCGTCAGGTCTAGAGAAGTCTTTTCTATTTAATTTAATTTTATTTTAGTAGACTTGCTACCCATGAGTAATATTTTGGTAATTCTGAATTTCATCCTTTTAATCCTTTGTTCTGAACAAGATTGGAACAGGTCTAATGGATTTTTCATCTGCTAGCCTTTTAGTTTGTCTCGCTTGTAGGAGATTTTTTATGTTCTTTTTTATGCATCCACTCATTATAATTTTTTGTTTGCAAGCTGAAGGTTCATCCTCATTATGTGCCAATACTTTCATGTAACAAAAATTTTGTACTTTGGGAGTCTAAATGACTAAAGCTCCCGTCTCTAGGCTAGGTTTAAAAAAAGATATCTTGTGAGCTTTTGGAGTCTAAATGATTAAATCTCAAATGAAGTTTTTCTATCTTGGGCCTTCTGCTCTCAGTCAGCTCTAATGTGTCAGAACTGCCAAACCTGCATAAAAACCATTCTTGAATCAGGTTTATATTGATTCTTGAGTAACACTAAATTCATCACAGGGTTGCTATTATTTACACAAAAATTATGTATTTATTCCTAGCTGGCTAGCTGTTTAGATTGAGTATTTCTTTTGAAACTTTATGTATGTTGAGGTTTTGAGAGTTTTTTGGACCCTTTTTAAGAGGTAGGAGAGTAGGAAAGTTTTAACCATTCTCTCCATATAGCTGATTGGTTCTTGGCTAACAAAGTTCTGTGCCTGTAAGGTTTCCGAGATACCTACCTCAAAATTTCTGTACCGAGGATCATGGTGATTGAGCTTAATCTTATTGTAGAAATATTAACCCTCGATTTTTCTCTTTTTCACAGTATATTCAAATCAGCAGAAATGTTGGGCTAAATCTTTTATGAATTCTCTATTGTCAAAAACCTTTTCCAGCATGTAGACCCTTTTATTTCAGGTATCTCGAAAATTAAAAAGTTACGTATCATGACTCGTCAATCATTTTTTCAGGAGTAAGAACAAGGTGGATGCTTCATCTGACAAGGAGTTGGGCAGTTTGAAATATAATGTTCAATCACCAGGGTCCACTTCAGATGATGAACAAGTACTCGGTTCTATTTTAAAGTAGGTGTTACAACTCGCTCTCATCCTCCCTGCATAGATTCTGTTTCAATTTTCTCGTTAACCTCTGTCAACTCTTCGAATTTAGGAAAAGGAAAATGAAAAGGGTTCAGGCAGAGCCAGAGGACAAGTTTGCCAGTGCTTCAACTAACCAGGAGGATATGGCTGGAGAAGATTCCAGCAATCAAGTTGCTCAAAGTTTGGAAGAAAGGTACGGATTTACTAATAATGTTTGAGTCATTGATTTAGGGAGTGTGGAACTTAAAGGGTCATAACCCCCCAGTCTAGGTTCTGCTGGCTGGTGTCTGACAAAATATTCATTTCTTAGCAATGTTTAGCTGTCAAATTGTCCAAGTGATTTTTGTGCTATGCTTGGGATCAATTTTTTCTATTGAACTTGTCTTAATAGTTTCTATGGTGCAGAATACTTGGTGTTTACCAGGAGATAATCAGAATGCTTCCAAATTTGCATTAACTCATCCATATTATAGTTTAGTTGTGTAATGATACAAATCTGTCTTACAGGGATGAAATTGGGGAAGATATGGATGTAAATGTTGGCGTTAACATCCCTCATAGCAGTTCAGCGCATCAAGCTATTAGGTCCAGTGATTGGAGTGAGGGAGGTAATCAGCAGAAGTACGACGAGCTATCTGAATCTGGGATTGGTGCCTCAAATCATGGGTTTCCAGGCAGCGATCCAGAAAAAGAAGCTGCTCCTGACACCAGTAATGATAAGAGAGGTCATGCGCTGGATGAAGATGTTAAAACTATCCAAAATGTTCTTAATTATAGTGAATTGGAAGATTCAGGGGATGAATTGGCACCTAGTGCATCACCTGAGAGTTCTGTAAAGAGAAGGCGGCTCAGGGTAGTGATGGATTTTGATGATGATGATGATGATGATGAGTAGGATTCAATTAAAACTTGTAATCAATGTAAATTAGCATTTGATTGATGCAAAGTGATGCAGTAATAGCTGTTAATAGTCTTTGACCCGAGCCAATCTCATAATATTGTTTATATAAATCTATTACTCTTATTTTTTATTTTTTTTTTCTGTTTCTGGATTTGTTTTGCACATTTAAAAGTTGAACTTCATTCAAATACAAATTTGAACAAAGTTACTTTTTTAAAAAAGGCGTTGCAAAATGTATAAGAATTCAATTTTGGAGTGAAATAGTTAAATCTTTTCCGACTCTTTTTATTCTTTATTACATGTTGACTTTAACGGTGAACTTTTTAAAAATTTGACTTCACTATTATAGACATCAAAATTATATCATGTGAGTTTTTGTTAGATTCAACTTAAAATATGTTTTCTAAAGTATTTTTATTCATCATATGAAAGATAAACGTGGTTAAAAATGTGCATTGGAGACTGTGTAATTCAAAGCATAAAGGATGGAGAGAGTAGAATATTTTTTCATCATAATTGAAACTATAAAATCAAATAATCATCATAAGTGTATTCCACTTATTCACTTAATATATACCTGTGTATACTTTTTTTTGGTAAATTAGTAACAAAATACATACCTTTAATAATCGTTGCTAAGGGACTGAGGCCATAGTGGCTTATTCTTTAACAATTGAACCTTGTGTTTTTTTTTTTTTTTTTTTTTTTTTTTTTTTTTTTTTTTTTTTTTTTTTTTTGGGTGTGGGGAAAACAGAGAACAATTGAGCCTTGTTAATTCTCTATCAGAGAAATATGTAAAAGTTAGAGCAGTTTTCAGGATCTGCTGCAGGCTTTTCTTAGCTAAGATAATTTGATTGAATAAGTGGAGTCATCCTGCATTGAGGCTTCGAATGCCTTTTTAGTTCTTATAGCTTGAACCTAAAGTAGCTTAATGGCCAAAACAGACTGGGACTTCTAGGTTATCCTCCTCTAACCAGACTCAGTGGGATATAGAGACTCGGTGGCTAATGAAGGGCGATTGGGCCTGGAGTTGAGAATGAACATTGTATATCAACAAAACTACCAATAAATAGATTGAACTAGCTATGATCTTTTACAAAATTCAAGTATGCAGCAAATAAATCATTCCATGTATCTGTAATGCCAGGTAAACACCAATGCATGCAATCATCATGCCTCTTTCCACCAGCTTTTGAGGGATGGGCATCTGCTCTATATTCACTCATATGGGTTATGTTCAAAACATAGAAACTTGATCCTTTAAGGGTCTTGTACAAGTGATGGTTGACAAGGCGTGTCTCAACATTTGTTCCATTATTTTCAACATTGAAAAGTTCTTCAACCTGGGAAGGTCAAACATAAGTCAGATTTTGGTAACAAATTTTCTGTTGAAGGAAAAATATACGAAGTAAAGACTTTCACATGTCAAAATCAGCAGCAATTGATAAAATGACCTACTTCTTGTGATAACAAAGGCTTTGAGCGCGGGCAAGAACCACCATGGTCCCAGTCACCTCCCTCAAAATGTCTGGGGGATTGTGTGCGGAATATTCTTATTGCACCAGGTCGCATTTTGCTTTCTACATATGATATCTGAAATCAAGAAGGATTAACATTTACAAAAACTCATGAACTTGAGAAAGAACATAAGCATAACAAGGACAGAGATAGACAAAAAGACATGGATCTCTGGTTGCTTATTGGTGCAATTGTTGATGGGTATGCCATGAAAGAGGCCTACTATGAAAATTGTTTCAGAATGATGTGAGCCAGGGCAAATGACCAATGCATCTATTTATAATCAATGTTTAACTTTTGCCTCATTCAATCTCCCAAGGATAAGAAGATGTTGATGAAATGCAACAAAGGATCTGACAATGTGGCGTCTTACTCAAAGGGTGGTGGACTGATTGTTATGTATAGGTATAATAAACAACACAATCGAGAGAGGCAATGAAGCTTCAAGAAAAGCAAAGATAGACAGGGGTTGCGAGCCTAACTTGCTAAATGTGATTACAAGCTGCTGAACCAACCTCATAGGATTAAAGACAAGAACATGTGATGCACAAATTTAAGCATCCTTCAGCAATGTTTTAGCTCTCTCCTCCATTTCTAGGAGAAAACCAGAAAAGAGAAGCCAATTTGATGCTTCTATTAGTTCCATAGGCATAGAAACGTTTCTAGTTCCCATCATACACTAAATTAACAGACAGAAGCATAGGATAATACAAATAACTCAGTACCATTTGTTTCAGGACCATATCCAGACCGGCATCAGGAGCTACTGGAGGCAGTATAGGCATTCCTTTCTCAAAAAAGAGCATAGGTGACTTTACTGGATCAAACTTTGAGGGAGCCCACCACCTGCAATATCAGTGAGGTAAACAAAGTTACTCCACTTTTCTCTGACCTATAAATCTTTTGACGACAACTTGAAAGCATAGATTTGTTTAGTAATTATCTAGATGCTAATATTATCTTTAGACAAAACAACTTTTTTTTTTGTATAAGAATCTATAAAATGCAAAATAGTATAGCTGGAAGAAAACCTTCCATTCATACTAAACAAGCAACAAGAGGGAAAAGCCTCAGATGCTAAAGAACATAAACAAGTCAGCTGAGTACCCACACCACCACCATAAAAGCCAACCTCCACTGTAGAGATTGTACCCCATGTTTGCTCCTTCTCAAACCACTTGACTTGCATATAGCCAAGCAAAACAAATCAAAAATCCCCCTAAAAACCAGAAAGTCTATAAAAATAAAACCTAGATGGCTAGATGCTAGTAAGTTGACCTATTTCTCACTATATAATGCACAAAAAATTGACAAATTTCCACAACATTGTACTTCGTACATACTTATGGACAGATTATATGGCCATGGTGCATCATAATGTTCCTTCATGGAGATAAGTTTAGTATGTCATAACTCAAAATGTTGAACGAAGGTTCTAAATTGAAAAAATTGAAAATTTCATTGACAAATATGCAGATAATATGCATTTATTGTGTGTCAGCTCACCATGGTGATTGGTGGCAGAGTGCGTTATATAAGATGGAGGGAGTAGTAGTATATATCAATAGATTAACTATCCTAGGTACGAGGTTAGAAGCATTTTATCTGTGTCTTGTAACTCTGATATTTTTGTTTAATTTCATACTCAATAGTCCTATTAGCTTGATATGATATAGTCATGTAGCTTCAGAAACTCAATTCATATAAGGACTTCTTTGTCTCTTATGTTAGCTTGTGAAATGCAACAGTATAGGTCATGGGTTGTAAATAGAGTTTTTTTTAGGAAGGAGAAGATGCAAAGGATATGCGCTTTCATTGTACGCAGTTCATAAAAGGAGGTAAAAAGGCAGACAAATGATCTGCTTCAATGCTTCATCCAAAACATAAAATTTAAGTAAAATAAGCATGGGCAAAAAAGCAATGCAAGTCATTACAGTTACTTATATGAAGCTGGATCTAGTATAGATTGTAGACATTACCAGTGTCCAGTATTAATGATGACAACATCATGGAATCTAGGAGCTTCAGCCCATTTGCCATCAGGGACATCAATGTCAACTCGGTACCCATCATTGTATCCAAGAGATTCTAGAGCTCCACCATTGGTGTTAGGTGACCACCTATTCAAGGAAAGCAAATATAGAGTTTAAAATGATATCTTACAGCTCCATTTAAAATGTAGCTTATCAAGATGGTAATTTTAGACTACAACTTGTAAATACTTGAGGAACATATGCTAATAATATTCTGCATTTTAGTCAAGTAGACATTTCTTTTTTTTTTTTTATTTTTTTATTTTTTTATTTTAAACTCATTCACTGAGCATAAGGAACTGTTGGATCCATGTTACACCATAAGAACGCAATAGAAGAAAATTCTGAGTACAAAGTTTGTTCTATAACAAGTGATCATGTGACTTTGTTTCCTGCTAAAGAGTTGCTATCCACACTTGTTGGTTCACATACAGCATAGAGAAGGTTGTATTAAAGAGACCAAATCATCTTGGTAATAATTCATATAGTTTAATTGATCAACCAAATGAATCATCTTGGTAAACATTTGATTAGGCTAAGTGGAGACAATTTAGCACGGAAAAACAAGCAGTGGCAGAAGCTAATAATTCAAAAACACTTGTACAATAACACAGTAAGACATGGCTTACCTACCGTAACGTGCTAATAGATTACTACGGTGATAAGCAATGGTAAGATTGTACTGAAGAAAAGTAAACCCCCGATCTGCTTTAGCTGGGTGCCACTTTTTCACATCACTTGATACTTGCCTCAGCATGCAAAATAGAGAAACAAACATATTTCTATTCAATGAATCACCTATAAATCCTGCACATTATAACTTTATTGGATCAGTATGATCATTTTCAATAACACTACGGAAATATTCTAAATGAATATCACTAAGTAAGTCCATTCCCACTAGACATCTACCTTCAAGGACGGGAAGTTTGATTTCCAATGTCTATTACAAGCATTTTTCCGATGTCTTCTCTTTAATAACTTCATTTCAATTATCTTAACATAATATTAATACTCAAACTATGCCAATCACTTAGTGATCATTTTCAATAACACTACGGAAATATTCTAAATGAATATCACTAAGTAAGTCCATTCCCACTAGACATCTACCTTCAAGGACGGGAAGTTTGATTTCCAATGTCTATTACAAGCATTTTTCCGATGTCTTCTCTTTAATTACTTCATTTCAATTATCTTAACATAATATTAATACTCAAACTATGCCAATCACTTAGTGTTGCCGCCACAACATAAGTACCCTTAAAAGTACCTTTAAAACCCCAACTGTTAATCATCTTCCAAGCAATAAAATTTATCAATAAAACCAAATTGAAATCTATATGATTATCTACCTTATTCAATCGCCTATTTGGTAGGCGGTAATACGTAACCATACCATAATGAGTTTATGTAAATTTGTAACGGAAGTTTCGTGCCAAATTAATTCACAACAGGGCAATCAAAATCAAACCTAAAATTCCAATCTAACAAAACCCATCACCATTACTGAGAAATAAACAATAAACAATACCCAGAAAAATCAATTACAATAAAAGTGAAAGAAAGTACCTATACTAGTATCCCTAAACCGTTCAAGAAATCTTCGAGCATCAAAAGGGGGAAGATCACAATTCCTGGGCTTCCATCTCCACTTAGAAATCTCAAAAGCATTGGATTTATTATTCAAAATGCAATTCCAACCCTTGAAAATCTCCTTACAAGTGTGATCATATCGAACAGATCTAACCGTAGGATCGTATACCCAATTCCCATCAGTGAAATCGCAGGGTTCTGATGATGGATGAAATTGGTGGGTTTGAGAAGAAGGAGATGAAAAGGGGAAGAGAGAGAAAGCGAGGAGGAGAGAGGCGAAGCAGAGGAGAGATAAGAAGAGGAAAGAAGTTAGAGAAAGAGAGAATGGGGTAGTGGGTTTCTTGGAGGTTGGGTTGTAATGGTGGTTTTTGCGCCATTGATTAATGGTGGAAGTGAGGAGAGAGAAAAAGTGAGATGAAGGAGATTTGAGTTCCTCCTCCACCTTCAACAACGGCAGCATCACTGAACAAGAGTGACTGTAAATTGCAAGTTTGCAACCAAGTCTCTAACACCGACATATATTATTTTATTTTTACTGTTCACTTCACTTTAAAATTTTTTTTTTTAAGTAAAAATAATTTCAGTTCAATTCAATTAAGTTCAGTATAAATAATTTCAGTGTAGTAAAAGTAATTTCAATTCAGTAAAATTCAGGAGGGCTGTTTATCGGTCCAAGACCGAACCAAAGACCCAAAATTAGAATTATAAGAATCGAATACCGGACCGATTAAGCTGGGACCGAACCGAAAGAATCGGTCCAAAACCCGGATCGAACCGAAAGAATTGGTCCAAAACTCGGACTGGGTCGCTTTGGACCGACTTAAGAATTTTTTTAAAAGAATTCTAAATTTTTAATAAAGTTATGGAAAAAAGTAAAGGAAAAACTATATGTTAATATTTTTTTTTTTTGTATGTTTAGTACAAAAAAACTTATAATTACAGTTTTCTAAGTTTATTAAGGATAATCTTAATCATTATTTAAGGTTTCACGCATATGTTTAATCAAAAAATTGGTCCAGTCCAAGACCAGTTTTTATACGGTTTTGGACCAGACCGAAAAAATAAAATTTTAGACCCGAAGATCGGATTCGGTCCGGTCTGGTCCTCCGGCCCATTTTTTCGATTCGGATCGATTTTTGAACACCCCTAAAATTCAGTATCTTTAAAGAAGAATTATAATAGAAAATCAGTAAAAATAATTTCAGTTTGGTAAAATTAATTTAAGTTCAGTAAAAATAATTTCAATTCACTAAAAATAAGGTAAAGTGGACGGGGCCTAATATAATTCCAAAGAAATGAGAAAATACAAGTTAAGTGTCTATTTTAATTTTTGTTTCATGTAGAGTATTATTATTTATTACGGAGTACCTACATATTTCTATTTTATAAAAAGTACTTTTTATAATTTATTTTTTATTTTTTTAACGGGTTATAAAAAGTACTTTTAACAAACTACTTATTTTTATTTTTTTAAGGACTACATACTAAACTTTCTTAAATGCCCTTTAAAATTAGTGTTCACGTATACTTCACAGTGTTCACACAGGTTTTATCATTATTGTCTCTCTTAAATAACTACTTTTTATAATTATTCCCAATGACTGCACACATGTTTTTTATACTTCATTTATATTAAAATTTGTAAAATATGGAAAACGAACCCTTCATAATAAGATGGAGGGAGTATTACGTTGTGGTGGGATAAATTAAAGAGCGAGAAGCCGAGAAGTGTTGGAACTTAAAATAATTTCTGTGAGAACAATGGTAAAGAAAAATCGACCTACAAATCCCACAATGGCAATGCCCTAAAGAATCAACTTTAGTTAGCAATCCAGTATTTATGTGCAGCGAAGAAATATGAAGCTACAAAGACCCCAGAGCATTTGGTAGGGTGAAATGTGAAACAGTCGTTGTCTAATCCAAATTAAGTAGAATAATCCAAAATTATCAAACTTTGGAAAGTGAATCTTCCACACCAAAGCACCTGTCATTTAGTTCCACTTTCAGCAGAAGATTCAAGCTTCTATAGTATACTACGGAATAGGAGAGTAGGAGCATTCACTTTTACGAGTGAATCATAACTCTGCTAAATTTCAACACCACCACATTCAAGAAATCTAACAGTTTTATCACGTCGACAATTTGGAAGACTTCAAAGAAACAGCAAGTTCACTAATACTCACTTCTACTCAGTACTCACACAAAGGAAGACTTCAAAGAATCAGTAAGTTCACTAATACTCACACGACGCATACAGAGTAATTCACAGCTAAGACTTGGATAAGATAATGGTTTAACTGAACCGACTCGTATGCTGGTCTTTAGTATAGATTAGATCAACATGGTTGCACTTAGGCATCAGACTATCAGAGCATAAATTCTATAAGAAACACTATCTGAAAGTGCTTGCTCAGAGAAAAACGCTAGCAAAAAAGAGCTTTACTAAAAAAAAAGGATCTCCAGTTTTATTGATCTGTCTTTTGATTTGAGCATGTTACAAGCTAGACATTTATAAGAGTTCATTCTTTAAAAACTACTTTTGTATTCAGCAAACTGAACAGATGGAGAACCATAGAAATCAAGCTTGGAAACATCTTCGAACAGAAGCAAGTTTAAGAGAAGTGATCACATAGAGCCTGTCATACAAATGAATCCATACGCGAAAATATGCATATCTCCAAGATCTCTTGAATATCAAGACACCACAAACCATCCAAAAACCAGAGATAAATCCAAGTGCAATGCTGATATACAGCCCCAAAAATATATCTTCATCGTTGTTTTTGGGCTTGTGATTATTGTTCTCGTCTGCTTTGGCTCCCTCTTCAATGCACTTCTTCGGAAGTGGGTCCCCGCAAAGTCTAGGATTGCCTGCAAACGCTGAAGCATCAAAGCTTTGGATTTGAGTTCCTGTCGGAATCCTCCCAGACAAGTTGTTATTTGCCAAGCTCAAAGTGCCCAAGAAGTTCAAATTTGAAAGAGTTGAAGGAATCTGGCTAGAAAGATGGTTATTAGACAAGTCTAAGGACTCTAGAGACTTCAGCATACCTATCTTTACAGTGATAGGTCCAATGAGATTGTTTCCTGAAAGGTTCAAGGAAATCAATCCTGTAAGACAAGAAATTTCAGCAGGAATAATCCCTCCCAACATGTTACTTGAAAGATCGACGCTCTTTACAAGTTCCAGGTGGTTTTTGTACTCATAGATGAATCCTTTTATTACAAGAGAGATGTAGTCTCTGTATGGGCCGATGGATGAGAAAGTACCATTCATGTCCTGAATATCTACAGGGGGTCTCAATTTCTGTGTCATTGCAGCAAAGCTGCACAGACAATTTGGAATCACTCCAGAGATATTGTTTGTAGACAGATCAAGAATTTGAATAGAAGATAAACGGCAAAGTTCTAGAGGTACTTTTCCAGAGAAGGAATTGTTCCGAAGACTAAGAACAGTCAAATTTGGTAGCATATGCCCCATCCATTTTGGTATTTCTCCAGAAAACAGGTTGTCACCAAGATCTAAATAAAATAATTGGGTAAAGTTGCAAAAGAACGAAGGTATCTTCCCAGAGAACTTGTTATTTCTCAAATGCAAACTGTTTAACCCGATTAAGGAACCAAATGAACTAGGAAGCTCGCCAGACAAGTTATTATTTGACAAATCTAAGACAGATAGATCAAAACCAGACCAACAATCAGGTAACTTACCAGAAAAGAGGTTATGTGAAAGGTCAAGACCTAACATCCATGCACTTTTGCAGATAAAAGATATTGACCCAGAGAAACTATTTCTAGAGAGATTAAGATAATCATAATCTCCAAAGAACCGTGTTAAAGAACCCTCAAGGAGGTTAGAGCTCAAATCAATGGCAGAGAACGAGGAAGCCGTGATATTTTTAGTTGATGGATTGATTAGCTCACCACGAAGTTTGTTATGAGATAGGTTGATGAATGTAGCTCTTGAAGAAAGATTCCAAAACCAAAAAGGAATGGTATCCGATATCCCAGCATGTGACATATCCAAGCTTACATAATTTGTTTGAGTTCGAAGCCATTCTGGGAAGCGAGATCCTAACCTACAAGAAGCAAGTCCTACAGTGTCCAATCTAAATGGAGGCACCCAACTAGAGCCAACATTAAAAGACAATGAGTTAAAGGACATATCCAAGTGGTGCAACCTAGAGAGATTCAAGAGGTGACTCACACTAATCTCACCTTTCAATGAGTTTGAGGAAATATCCAGCTGCTCAAGCCTTGAAAGTTGCCCTAGACCTGCATGTATTGTGCCATTTAATTGGTTATTTTGAAGTTGCAACACTCTCAGTGACCTAAATATGGAAAGATCAGGCACTGATCCTGTAAGTTGATTTTCTTGAAGAGATAATGTGACAAGATTTGAACGTCTTTCAAAAGTAGAGGGAAATGAACCATTTAGTTTATTTGAGGCCAGATTCAACTTTGTTAGGGAATGAAACTTCGTGAAATCTGGCAATGAACCAGTAAGGTTGTTACTCTCCAAGGAGAGAAACATCAACGACTTGTTTGAACAGGATAAAGATTGAAAAATGCTCGAAAGATCTCCCTCGAGAATATTCCCAGAGAGATCGAGATGTGAAAGAGAAGTCATTTCCCTAAATGTACTTGAAAGATCTCCCTCGAGAATATTCCCAGAGAGATCGAGATGTGAAAGAGAAGTCATTTCCCTAAATCTACTTGGAATTTTACAACCACTCGATAGGGTCTCAGACGGAGATTCTAACTAGAGAGCTATGGTTGAAAATCCAAGTCCATATCGAGGAAGGTTTGAGAAAATTATTAGAGAGGTCAAGGAAAGCAAGTGACTTGGAGGAATTAATAATAGAATGAGGGTGAAGAATAGCATCAGAAAGATTGCATTCACTCAACTCCAAGTGCTCTAGGGAAGGGAGGCTACTGACAACATGAAGCCAATCTGTAGCTTCACTGAGATCAACATTCGGTAAAATGAGGCGCCTTAGTGAAGTAAGATGAGACAGCATGTTAAGGCTTCTAGCAAACATATTGCTATACTCCGATTCCAGATATTGCAACTTTGTAAGATTGCCAACCTGATGAGGAATATCTATATCTCTATTTAAATTAATATTGAAAATAAGATATCTCAATTTAGGAAAGGAGCCAATAAAGCTTAGGTTGGCATGAACTTCAAAAGTACCTGCTAGGTTGTTGATATCTAGGTAGATCAAGTCTTCAAGAGCAATCAAGGAAGGATCCAAATGGATAGTGTAACTTTGAAGAGGCCAAAGATCATCATCACAGTACGTTAAGAACTCACTCAACAATAGTTGGTTAACATGACCAGTGAGATTGCTGCAATAGACACCAGGCCAATTGCAGCAGTCACGGTAATACTGACTGTAGTGTTTAGTACAGGTGGGGTGAATGCTGCGAATGGCCTCTCCTTCCTTCTCTATGCACTTATGGGTGTTAATTTCAAAGCTAAAGGAGGGGGTTTTTGTGAAGCAAATCCCAACTAGAAAAACCAAGAGTATTTCTCGTATTAAAAGTAATCCTGACATTTTTTTTCAAGGAGAGAATTTTGGGTTTGAAACTTTTTGAGCCCAAGAATAATATGTTCGTAGAATATATACTGAGAAATCATTGACTCTAATCACAATGATGAATGATGATAAGTAAGATGCATAGAGAATTTGAGTAGGGCAGATCAAATAGAAGACCACAAGGATGGAGAGAGGTTTGGCGAATATGGGGATAAAAATTGTACCGAGTGATGGGTCGGGTATGGAGTTTACACTAGACTTGCCCCATCCCCACAAAAAAAAACTTATATAAGTCTAAGTCAAGCATTACTCGTATAATTAAGGGAATTATGGTCATATTGTATGAATAGAAATGGTATATATGTCCAATTAGCTGATATGGGGTGGATATGAATATCCAAGTGGTGGAGCGGGGATGGGTATGATATTTTTAGGTGGGGAAGGGTGTGGAGAGACCATCCTCCGCCTCCAACCCACCCAATTGACATCCTTACATGCAATAGCTTAAAGATAATAGTAGTGTTCAAATTCGAATCATGTTCATAAGGTTGCCTAAAAGTCATAAATTATGAAGTTTTCCTGCTATTTCACATAATAATACAAGTAACCGACTTTTGGACTTTGCTTCATCCTCCCCTACTCTAAAGATGAAGAGTATCAAAGTCTGAGCTTCAAACTACTTTCAGACGTTACAATTGGTATTTAATATTCCACACCCCTTGAAAATGAAAGAAACGAGAAGGAATAAAGTCATTCCCACCATGTTTGGAAATTAGATTTTTGATTGCTATAGACTAATTCTAACCTTGGTCCATTAGACCTACGTTACCTGGAAAGGGATTAAGTGTCTACTCATATATGGGTGTCCAAGTGTCAAACTCGGCCATTTTGTAGAAAAAAGTCAAGTTTTTAGTTAAAAATGAAGTATCTAAGTGACGTAGCACTAACACAAGACAGCACGCCACGACACAACACAATTTTTGAGGTAAATGAGGGTGTTGAAGTACATAGCTTTAGACTAATTCAAATCTTGGCTAGTCAGATTTTTTATGCCTTTAGACTAATTCAAATCTTGGTCACAATAGAGTGGGACTGCATATCTATTATATATTGTAAATCATGGACTAATTAAGTCTATCCACTCCGGAAGTGGATATTACACTAATGCAGTTTCATGAGATTTTCCCCGTACCCCATTACTGACATTTAATTCAAAGCATCAGTTTATACAGTATTAACATTGACACGGAAAAACAAAGTCACACACCCAACACTCTAACAGCATTAAAGGGTGGACATTTGATATTTCGTCATAAGAAATACCAGAAATAAAAATAAAATCAACGCGACATTGGACATTAGTTTCTATCAGGATATATTAATAACAGTTGTACAAATATACAAATGACGTACTTTTTAAATATACAATGTCATAATATTTGCAAAAGGATGTGGTTAGCAACATGAAGCAGGTTTTTATCTACGCAGGCCATTGAAAAAGATCCTCTCCCCATTTACTTCTATGAAGTAGTTATATGCTTATGTAAGCCTATCTCTTTATATCGACTCGAACTCCCTCAATCCAAGTCATCTTTGGCCTTCGTTGGCTTCTTCTAAAATCTCCTTGATCTAAACTCTTTACATTAATTACCGGTGTATCTTCTGGTCGTCACCTCACAAGCCCAAACCAACACAATCGATTCTCCCTTACCCTAAATATTGGTAACTCCAACTACCCTCCAAATTATGTCATTCCTAATTCTATCCTTACGAAGTTCCCACGTATCCATCTCAATATATGCATCTATGCAGCACCCATCTTTCTAAAATGATTCTTCTTAGCTACCACTTTTTAAACATAAGCACAACAAATGCATTCTCACACTATCATGGAATGTATATTTTTTTTTTTTTTTTTTTTTTTTTTTTTGACAAGATCATGGAATGTATCTAGTGAGAAAGTAACAATTAAAATCTGGCTCAAAAGGCATAGTTGAATGACAGGGGATGGGTATTATTTTACTACTTGAATGATTTCAAGAACCAAAAACATTACACTAAAGGTTTCTGTAAATTCATCTTTGCTGAGTAAAGAAAAAAAAAAAAAAAAAAAAGGTTCCAACAAATATGCATCTAGTTATAGCAAGAAGAAAAAAAGGATTTTCCAAACCAAATTCCATACCTTTAAGACTGTAACTAGAGAACAGATAAGAACCTGTACTATTGCCCAATTAGGCATTAAAATGAATTCTTACAAAATGGATGTAACACGAACTGAATTATCACCAGAACCAGTAAGATATATAGGTAGGGTTGGATGCCAATCGACAGTTGTCACAGCAGCACTGTGTGGTAGAGTTTTTAATCCGTTTGCAAGACCTCCAACCTAGAAAAAAGAAAACAAACTATAAAATGCCAGCCCAGTATCATCTACTTCTTTAGTAATAGGTGGTCTAGAATCAAAAAAAGATTTTGCATTGTTAGTTCAATCAATCAATCAAAGCCTTAATCCCATAAGTGGGGAATTTAAATGGGGCAGAATCGATTTTGAATTCTTAGTTAAGAAAAAAATTTAGGCCAGTGAAATTGATGAATTTATTATGGAAATAGACGTAATAGATTGATGTATAAGTTCAGCAACAGAGGTGAATTGTACCTGATACATGGGTGATCGTACTAAATCAGATGTCACTAGCAGTCTCTTTCCAGTACAGTCCAGCGCCATTTCATGACGGCAGTGTTTCGAGGTATCAGGATTGCAGAACCTACAGAATGAGAAAACGTATGATTCTAAAAGTTCATTTTCAGCATCCCTTGATGTCTATATAGATATTTTTAACAGAAGTACTTCATAACAACACATAGTATGGGTCAAATATACAGTTGGCAAGATCCATACAACAACCATTAAGAAACCAGTTTCAGATTAGCAAAGACAAGGAACAAAAATCCACCTCACCAGGAGTGGGAGCTGTAGTTATCTGAAGTAATTAGTCTATTTGCAAAATTAATTTAACAATGTTAGGTAACATTGACACGTTAGGTACCTCTACAGCTTAACCTGATCCAGGCCGGTTCTATAATGATGCAGCACACAGCAAGAAAAGCAAAGAATGAAGAAGTCATATGATAAACACCTTGCCACAGGTCATTGTGTCAAAAAAGGCATCTATACACAAGATGATACATGCAACTAGCCAAAATGGTGTAAAAATTCACGTGGCATCAATATTTTTTATACAGGAATGCTAATACCTGCTGCAATCTGCTGACCAGACTACTCGACCTTGATTTTGTAAGCTCCATTCAAATACCTGAACCCATAAAATATCCGATTCTTTTTCAGCAACAGTCCTAATTATTGCTGAAGTTGCACAAAAGATTAAACTACTTACTTTTCCATCCGATCCCAAAGTAAATATACTTGTCTCATCATGTCCGAAAAGAATGGAGCTGATGGGACAATCATGAGCTGGCCATCCAGTAATTTGCAGACCCGCAGACATATCTTATGTTAGTCAAGGACTCAGAATACTAAGATGTCTGGCTACAGATATGAGTATAGTCCCAAGTTGATATCAATACATTATCTATGCATTCAAGAACCTGAGTAACATAATCATGCATCTGGAATTTTTATTACGGGGTAATTAAAAAAGGCTATTAAAACAATCTCTCTACTTTGGGTACAGATAAGAGGTCCAGGATGTAGAATTTTGAATCTCCATGGGATGGATAATGCAGGGCTTGGCAGGATATGATCCTACAAACCAAGTCTCCAGATACTCTCACTTTGATATGTAATGCAGAGCAACCAACAAAATATACATATATCACCACACCAAAGGAGACATGCAAACGTGTAAGGATACCAAACATGTGAATCATCCCATCAACAGCAGCAGCGGCTAAAATCTTTCCATTGTGATTGAAGCACATAGAGGTTATCGCTGGGGGATCTTCACCAAGCGGAAGGACTGTCTTCACAGAGTAAAATGTCATCAAAAGATTGATCTTTATAATTAAGTTAATAAACTTTGGAAAACCACAACATACCACAGGCTTCCACGTCTTCATGTTCCAAACAATTAGTGAAGCATATCCCATGGTGTTAGCATATGTTGTTTCATCCCTAATTATGAAAAAGAAAACAAACATATGACTCTTGCATGTCACCCTCGAGTTATAAAAAATGAACAGAAAGTTCAGAAACATAGAGAAGCACAACCAATCTATGAAGCCCGAATCTAGATTCTTTCGGCCATGAAGAGTTTGAACAAATAAATAAGAAAATAATGCTCATATTTAATAGCTATACTCGATTTTCAAAAACTAAAAGAACAATATGCCTTAGTTTGACTGAGTAAAAGTTTTATGACGAGAAGTTATCCTCCTTTTCAAGGAACATAAATGAACTAGAATCAAAGATGAACAAAAAATCAAATCAGGATCACTGTACTTAAAAATGAAGAGGAAAAAGAAAAAGCAGAATTATACCCTTCAGATGCAGCTGCAGAAACAAAAATGGGTTCCACAGGGCTGCATTTTATATCTAGTACCCTGTTATGTAGGCACATCAATCAGCACAATGAATCAACAAGGACTACAAAAAGTTCTTAGTCCAGGAACAACCTTCGAAATGTTTGACCAGTGCTGAGATCACAAACGACTCTTTTTGCATCCACATTCCATGCCTTGATGCCTCCCTCAGCAGTGCCTATCAGAAGCTTTTGTCAAGCCAAAAAGAGATATAATTAAAGGGTAATATCAATTGAAGAAAGCAAACTTTTCATTGAATGTCAATTAGAGAAAAGTAATGCAATGTACACCCACACACCCCTAAAAGGGATAGAAGAGAAGCAGCCTACCAAGCGATCAGATTTACAATCCCAGTCAAGAGACAGAATTTCCGCTCCACAATATATGGTGGCGTTTCTAGATCCTGGCGTGGATGAGTCATATGTCCAAATCCTTTATCATCAACAAACCAAACCTAACGTCAGTATTCCACTTCAGGAATCATAGAGAGCGGAATAATAAAACAATCGATTAAATTTCACTGATTCCCCATTAAAGATATAATATTAAGCCCCTCCAATCTCTGTTCTTTTAAAGAAGATGACTACCAAAGTACCATGGTCCTTCATTTCTATTAAAAGGAAATAAATAAATAAACAAGTAACTACTCTCCCATCTCCATACATATCTTGCTTCCCATGAAACTAATAAAAATTTCCTTTCAAAGAAAGAAGGGTGCTCCATCCAAATAATACCATGACGTAAGCATGTAATTAGCCAGACATCATTAGGCAGGATATTTAACTTTATATTGCAAGCCCACATTAAAAGATTGAAAACAATTTAAAATACCTTCGCTCAGACAATTTAGTGAAATTGGCATTATGCATTTAAAATTATCACCCTTATCTTCAAAAGGCAAGAAAGAGCTCAAAATTAGACGTGAACAGCTACAGTAGATACCTGACTGTTCCATCTGTAGAAGCACTTGCAATATTATCCCCAGATGCTGAAAAGCGGGACCTACTAATGGGACTTGTATGCCCCAGAAATGTTTCCTTATAACAAATGCCATCAGAAATTTATGTGAGCTAAGAGAACAATGATGAAATTAAGATAATAAAATACAAAGTGAGATGGCATCTTCATCCTCCGAAGAAGTGAAGAGTAACGTATAGTTGACTATCTGCATTATCATGAGTTCATGACTAAACTTAATATTCATTGGAGCTAATGTAGTAGGTGCCAGTGTTTGCTGACAAGTGAAAGTTGGTACATTATATAGCAAATTTCCCAAAAATAACTTAAACATGAAGCTCTACCTGGAACTGCACTTTTACTTCTGAAAATTTTTCCTCACCTAGGACCACCGCCGACTTTTCTGTCATAACACAATCAACAAGACGTAAAACAGCAAGAAAAATCTTTGGATAGCCTAAAAGTACATGCAAGTCATGCAATATACATGATTAATAACAAAGGCATTTTTTCATGTCACAAAATCAGAAAGTCAGCAACTGATGCTCACTTGGCAACATCTACAATCTCCTTACTCCTTAACTAAATAGCTATTTTTTCCCTTTTTAAAAACCCAAGGAGCAATTGGCATCAGGATCCTTGACATGGGCTCAGAACTTATATAATTTATATGACAAACCCTGATCAGGGAGGAGGGGGTGGAGGAAGAAACTAATACATCAAACTCTACTACCCATTCAAAAAATTAAAAGTCATACTCCTACTAGTTTATCCAGCAGCAATCATAAAAGCAGAAAACAAAACCAAAAAGTGTTACTACCTACCTATAAGATGAAGAGCCTTGAAGTCACTGCTTTTTGGGAAGAAAATAATGGACATTTTTTCCCTACTCTCCTCACTGAGATTCTAACTTGAGGGCAGTATTAAAATCTAATACTTAGTACTTCTTTTTCTCTACAATATCATAGTCACCAGGACTCCATAGTTCATAACTAATAATTTATTATGCACTTTGATGAGTAAGTCAATCATTCCTCTATGCAGTGAATATTATTTATCTTAATCTTGGGACAGTGTGGGCCCAAATATCAAATGCAAAAAGATTCTTCCACCGTTCTTTAATACTTGCAACATTTGGATTTTTTTTTTTTTTTTTTTTTTTGAGGGAGGACTTTAAAAGTATTCACACTGTCCTTTAACTACATTTTATGACATATACATAAGGAAGTTTATAGTTATGTGAGATCTTTTCAAACTTGCCTCAATATATAATTTCAAAATATCAACTTTTAATAATTTTACTAAAATATAACAAATATATTCACGGTCAAAGTCATCATAGATAAGCATGAAAATCCAAATGGTGAAAGTAAAAAGGAGGGGAGGAAGTAATGCATAGTAAAAAAAAAAAAAAAAATCAAATGTCACTTCTAAGCCTTATTCGATTCACAATTTCATATAAGGATCAAATGCTTAACTAAATTGGCTTGTTGTGTAGTTAGTTTCCTGATACAAAAAATATTGAACTCAACCTTTGAAATAACATTTTTTTTTTTTTCCAAATCCCATGTGTTACTGGGTTTTAGGAATTTCCAATAAGAATTTTGCTATAGGTCAGCTCATAAGTTTACTTTTACATAAAAAACCATTGTTTTGCACAATATGTAAATCCAATGATTATATAAACAGGTATCAAAGATAAGATGATAGTACCACTATATAAACCATATTTGGAAACATGGATTCCATTATGATCATTGCTAACTGGTGGATTTCCAGAAGAACTTGGGGCATGATCAGCATTGTAGGCAGTCGTATTGGACAAATCCGAACATCCAACCACTTCATGGCTCTTGAATCCAGTTTCAAGCTCACTTTTAGATGTAGTGGATAGACTTGCCTCTTCAGAAACCACAGAAGCACTTTGCACAGAGTTATCTTCTTGTCCCATTAACACAGTACCACTGTGCGAGAAAAACAACAAAGTCAAGAATTTTTCTCTCTTTTTTTAGTGTTGGGAGGGAGACAAACACCTATGGAAAGAGCCCCTAAGCTACATATCAAGGGAGTTGAGATCATCATCTCCTAACAATTATATTGTAGTAGGAGTCTAGTGAGGCAAAAACGTTGTCTACATCACTTGACCATTCATTTCAAAGAATTCCTGTTCAATACTCAGATATCTAGATAAAGATGAATGCCAATTTCACTGTGGTTGAACTGACTTGATCCTTTTGTCATTTATGAACTCTAAGTCCACACTTCAGCTACAACTTAATAACATATGTAGAAAGCTACAATTTCTAGTGTACAAACAAACAAACAAGCAGCAACTTGAATCTAAGGAACAGCTTCCATTTTTGAGGTATAGAGATAATAATTATATAAAAACAGCAATAATGCAATAAACTACCGTCTAAGCTGATGTAGTTGAGCCTCCCTTTCTTCCAGGACAGCCTGAAGTTGTGATAACTTCAAATTTAGCTGCTTAATGTCTTTTCTGAGACGGTTGATAGTGTTCTTCTCAGTACTTATCTTCATTAAAGCAGGAATGCGTGAAGAGGTCAAGGAAACACCAAGTATACTCCTTTATGTCACTAAAGTATAGTTTAATTGATAATTAAAAAACACACATATTGATAAGAGTTCTTCATTTAAAAAAAAAAAAAAATCCAAGCAGAGAGCAGAGCTTCTCGATCCAGGATATACACTTTTTTTTTTTGAAAGATCCAGGATATACACTTGCTGAGACCATTGTTAAAAAAATTCAAATATCTTCTTTCAATTTTTTTTTTTTAAAAAAATATCTAAAGAGCTTCCGAAGTCAACAAAAAGGTAAATAACAGGGATCGCTCCCAGGATAAAAGTTAATTGGCACAGGGGTGTATTACTGTATTTAGTGTGTTCATTTTCTGAATGTTCACATTGAGTTGAGTTTCAACCACATGTCAAATACATCAGCAATAACAGTTACAAAGCTGTGCCAAATTGTATGTAAGAGCAGGGCAATGAAGCAGTAGTCACAAGTCATCAAGCTAACATCAGTATTAGTCACTTCCTTATTAATAAGATAGTGCTAGTCATGATATAATAGGACAAAAAAACATAGGATATGAGTTCCACTAAACATCTGGCTCAGAAAATTCCTTAGTGAAAGATGCAAAGCATCCAGCCAGTCCTTTGAGAAATAAATGCGAAACTGAGGATCTAAAGCAGGATTCTTTAGGTAGGGCATAGCTGCATATGAAGCAAAGGTCAGACAGTATGCAAACAAGGTAATATCAGGCAAAAAAAAAAAAGGTTGGTTAAGAATAACTTAATGAAAAAAGATAACACACCAAACCATGGAGTCCAATCATCTCCTTTTTGCTGCAAGTCATCACCCAACATATCAAAAAACTCCTTGACTTTGTCATTCCTTCCTGAACGCACAGCATGTACTATATAATAGCGGAGAGTAGAGGCCTCCAGTTTGGACAGTGTAGCATAAAACACTGTCTCGGAGGAAGAAATACACTGCTTAAAGAAACTAAGGAGGCCAACCAATTTCTCAGCCTCAAACTTAGGTATATATTTTGAGAAAATCAAGTCGAGTATCTTGTCCACTTGAAAACCTTTCCCGACATCCATATTTAGTTCCATCTCAAAAGCTTGTAGTGTACTAGTGAAACCTCTGAATACAAGAAATTCTCTTACTAGCTCCTCAGCATAATGCATATTTTCCATCTTCTCCTAAAATACATACGCAAAAAGTAAATTACAATCAGCTCACTGCACATAAGAAAATGGCAGTATGATTCCAAGTAAATTTATTACTTTTAAAAAATTAAACCACATGTTCATATCAGAGGACAAAATGCATCAATACTTTACTTCCAAAAGTCACTTGAATGTGAACTTGCAAGTAGACACTTAATGGCGGGTAACTCAGGTCACAAAGATGTTCAAGAAACACATAACACAAAAGGCTACAAGTTACAAAATATTGGTATTCATAAAAGAGAAAGCTTGTTCTGGTACGACAACCAGTTTGGCTTTTCTGAAAGAAAGAAAACAATATCACTTGTCCCAGGCGACTACTGCCATTCTCAATTACTCCAGCTCCTCATCAATTCCAAGCTAAACATATCTCACCCTTGGATTTTTACATACAATCATACACTAGGACACTCGAAATTCTTCACAGCAGTCAAAATTTTTATCATTCTATTTTATTACATCAAACGTTCAATACTTTTTTCGTTCACGATGCCATAAATCATACCCAATATATCAATATCCATTTAGAGTAGGATGGGGTGTTGAAGACTGAATGTGCAGAATCCTTACTTGAAAATGGAAACCCTAAATACAACAAAAGACGCAGCCTCCTTAATCAGAAGTACTTATGATCAATACTTTTCTAGATAAAGCTTAGGAAACCCTAAATAAAGCTTAGGTAACTTCGTCCCAGAGCAAAATTCTAGGATAAGACCATCTACATTTTATGGGGTGACTTTGATTCACTTATAGGACTCATCTTATCCCAGAATTTGCGCTTCAGTATTCCAAACAAAATGTACCTAAATCAAACCAAAAAAGCAGAAATTCTACTTTATCCAATCCAGTACTTCACTATTGAAATTGATAAATACGCCAGACAACAAATGGGATCCTAAAATTCAACTTAATATGACAAAATCAAATAAAAATGACAAAGATGAATCAAGAACTAGTGCTCAAATTCCTAATCAAACTAGATTTAGCTGAAATTCATCGGCGAATTGAGCACTAAAACAATCAATTATAACTGGAAATTAAGAGATTATTCATATGGAAATAAGATTGAAGGTTGCCGTATGAGTAAATCTAGGGTTTATAAATTGGGAATGAAGAAATTGGGGTAGAACAGTACCTTCAGCATAGATTAAGATTAAAATTGATGAAGTTGAATGCACTTTGAATCCAGCTGATCTTGCAGTTGAATTATTCAGGAGACAGAGCAAGAGAAAGTGTCTGAAATTTGTAAAGCCGGGAGTTCTTGATGCTAGTAATGTAAATAATTGAATTTTGTAATTTATACTTTACCCCTGTGCATGAGAAATTTGGATTTACTAATGATGAACCGTATATGCGGACTGGAAATGTGCATATCAATTAACTTATTTGATGAAATTCTTAAAGATCGGTCTTGAAGTTAAAAATACTTTTATTAATGTAAAGACATAGTGGGAGAAAAAATATTGAACAAGATAGATTTTGTAGAAAAATTAACAATTACGCTAAAAAATCCTAAATTGACTTATAATACAACAAAATTGGCTTTTATCATCGAGGTGAGACAGTGGAATAACTACATGTAGCACGAGATGACGGGTTTGTGTTAACGGTAAAAGTACTTGTATGATCATCATTTTCTCTTTTCATAGCTTTGTATACATTATCTAATCCTTCTTCAATCAACTCCAAAATGTTTTGTGGCATTGGAGGCATATTGACTTCCATTGTGCCTTCAAACATTTTTACCACTTCTCCCATTGAAGGTCTCACTGAAACTTCATCTTGGACACACCAAAATGCTATCTTGAGAGCCCTTGTAACTTCTTCCTCATCAACGGCTACTCCTAATCGCTTATCCACGACTTTGATCGCTTGTTCATTTACCATCTCCTGAAAAATAGTGAGTGTTGTTTACAAACTCGACGTTGTTTAGTTTCGTAAAAACAAATTTTGAACAAAGAAATAAAGATGAAGTGCTAAAAAGCATACCGTAAAAGCCCATCCAGGGTAAAAGAAATCTTCTGCATCATAAGACATGTCAAGGTTCCTCCTTCCTCCAATAATTTCTAATAATAGCATTCCATAGCTATAAACATCTGCCTTAACGGTTATGGGGCGATTACTAATCCATTCAGGAGCCAAGTATCCTCGTGTACCTCGAACCATGGTAACAACATGTGAGTGTTCTCTTCCCATCAGTTTAGCTAGTCCAAAATCTGAAACTTTAGGGCAGAAGTTTTCATCTAATAAGATGTTTTCTGGCTTGATGTCACAATGAATTATTCGGTTCCTACATTGTTCGTGGAAGTAAGCTATCCCTTGAGCCGTGCCTAAGGCTACATTATAACGTGTAGGCCAATCGAGTACTTTGTCTCGGTTATAGTTTGGAGCAAAGATCCATTTGTCCAATGATCCATTTTTCATGAATTCATAAACCAACAGCCTACATATAGCCACATAATTTCAATTAAAAGCAATATACAAATAGAGCTAGTAATTTGGGTTGATTGATTTGAGTTCAAATATGGCTTTGGTTTGATTTCAGTTATACTCGACGTACAATTAAAGATCTATCTATATAAATGAGAAACTTTTCAAGAGTTTAAATAGCACCACATAAGCGTGTCGTGTCACAAAATATGATATACCTGCGTGATCCCTCGGAACAGTAGCCACAAAGACGAACCAAGTTCATGTGATGCATAGAGCCAATTGTATTGACTTCAGTGATAAATTCGCGCTCTCCATGGGGCAAAATTTTGTCAAGCTTCTTCACTGCAATGTAAGTCCCATCTCCTAGGCTTCCCTTGTATACAGTTCCAAACCCCCCTGTCACAAATAATATCATAATCCAATCATTAACATCATAACATTAAAAATGCTTAATAACATACTTACATACAAAACAAAGAATAACATAGTCCTCTGTTTTTTTCCTCTGTTTTCTAGGCTAATGCAAAGGAAAGTTTTGAAGCCATACCTCTTCCTAATAGCTGGGAAAAGTTAGAAGTGCAATGCTGCAAATCTCGGTAGCTGAAACTAATCGGAGCACCCGAGAAGATCAACGAGCTCTCCATTGCTCGCTTCAACAATCTCTTCCTATGAACATTGTAGTACAACAAAAGGCATAACAACCCAATTAACACCCCCATACTCAATACAATGGGAATGACCAAAGCCTTCTCATGTGCACTTCTATCATCCCCTCCTGAATCACCTTCTTTTCTTGACGATTCACCCCAATCCGAATCATTTCCTAAGACCTTAACAAATAGAGTTGAGCTCGGATCTTCAAAACCTCCGTAATCCAACCTTCTTAACACCCAACAATAAGGCTTTTCCTCATTCAACCCATACACTGAAGCAACACACTCACAATTATCTAAGCAAGCATCTCCACACTTAGAAACTGTAGGGATGTCACTATAGTTAGCTATAACAGATTCTTCTGAGAAGTGATAGTTTGTTTGTTGGACCGCGATGATCTTGAACTCTTTAGTAAGGTTTTCGTGTCTCCCATTGCATTTCCCGGTCAATGTAGAGTTCTCGAAACACCTATCATCATCCTCTCCTACCCTTACAGTCCCAGGCAAGCAAGAGCAAGACGAATTCGTCTTAGTCCTATCTAGGACACACACACCATTCCCACATATTCCAGCAATGTCACATGAGCTAGTCACAGCCGCCCACTCCGACACCCACTGGCGTGATCCATTCACGTCGTTATCCCACCTATATAACCTCAAATTCCCGTTTACCTCTAGTACTAACCGCCTTAGGGACGTTGCACGTGTAGACGGTGTCAATGACTTATTGTACAATAATCCATCATTGTCACGGTCATTTTTGTACAAGTACACCGCACCATTAGATGACCCTGGACCATACACCACCCCGAAACTCCCCTTCTCGTCTAGCATCGCCACCACATCACCGGTGGAATTCGATATATCAGGGCCGGCCCAATACGAATAATTCGACAGTGTGTCGTCAGGTGCATCAGGTAAGTTATAACTTAATGCTAGGCTAAGAGAAGTTGGTTGTTGGAGCATTTTTAAAGTGTAGTAACCTCCATGAGAAGGTGACTTCTTAGATGATGTAAGCTCCAATGATACATTCAAAGGTTGACCAGGTAATAATGTATCAGACGGATAAGAAAAAGTCTGAAACACAGGTTCCTGCATTTTATCATACAGGATAAAGTTGCCACTTTCTGACATTACAGCTGCTTCAACTCCTGCCCTTGAAGTGTTGGATGACCATAAGGTGGCTCGTCCGTCGCGGAGGACGAGGTTTCCGGTGTTGTCGAGGCTCAGCACAGCGTTTTTGGTGGCCAGATTGTCTCTAGATTGAGAGAGAAGGAAATCATTGGGATGTTTCAGGACATATTAGTAGGGAAAATGTACATGTGATGATCATCCCCTGCAATAGGATGATGTAAAATGACTAAGGAAAAAAAGTAATGCCTTGCGTTTTAATCTTGATTTATGTTTCATTGACTAAATTTATTTAACTAGTATATATGATCATCAAAATTCTTGTTCTTGTTCTTTTGGCTATGATACATCAAATATATGAATTCATCTAGAAAAAGTAATTTGTTTAATAGTGCAATCTTTGCCCAATAAGTAACACTTAATACTTATTAGAGGAACAGTGAAAAATGATATGACAAATATGATCATTGGAGAATAGCTAGTCTTTATTTCTTTATTATGGATCTATGATAAATTTTTGTATGCATATATACGACTTATATAAATGATGAATAAAGTAGTTTGGATCAATCCTATAATCGTGTACTTCTCTACATAATATAAAAATAAAAGAATTGTAAAATGTAGCAAAAAGTTTCTAAAGCCTATTTTAAGCATTTTAGTACGAGAAATGACACTACTATGAGTCTATTAATTATAACGATAATACTCCGTATATTTTAGTTGAAAGTCAAGACCGATGTTCAAATAATTTCACAACGTCACTAGTTATAAACAGATGTGTATATGATATATGATTTACAACTAGTGCGTAACAAAAAAAGTCGAACATGCTAAAAATAGTACAATGTGGTGGATTGGAGCTTACCTATTAGCAGACCAAACCAAAATTCTTTCTCCATGAACTTGATTATACCAAATACCAAGCTGCAATTGATCATTTGTATACATAGGAGTGAACCCAAATGCAAAAGTTCCGTTCTCAGAGATCCAAGCTTTGTTTTCCTTAGCTACCAAGCTTGAACCAGGCCTAATTTGGCTAGTCACTGAACCAAAAAATCCAAGTACTAAAGTTGATGCAATATAACATAATGTTTTAGTATATGAATACATATGAAACTTATTAGTATTAGGTGCCATTGTTATATGAAATGACGAACTTGTTTTCATTGTGAAACTTTGGTTTTTATAGTTGTCAAAAATGAGTTAGCGGAATATTGGGTTTTGGACACGTGGACAAAGTGGGTGAGCTAAAACCCTAAAAAGTTCAAAATAAAATAAAATAGATTAAAAACTGGATATGGTCGGTCCAAAATCTAAAAATTGAACTTTGGAGCTTTGAGATTATGGCACGTGTTGAAGTTGCTATAGTTTTGCAAAATATTTTGAGTAAATTCAATGAATATATATTATGGGTGATTTATAGGTGTTTGAAATTAAGTTTGAGGCACGTCTCTTTTGGTTTATACTTGGTTATAATTTCTTGAATTCAAACAGTTTTGAGCCTCTTGTTAATGGTGTATTCACACTTTAGCTGTTAAACAGCACATACAAAGTTAATGTTGGTAGGAGAACTAATGCTTAGAAAGTCTATGTAATGATTGTGAATTTGTGTAGGATTCAACATAATTCAAGCTTATGGTTTGGATGTCAATTCGTGAAAAAACTAACACTGCGCATAATTTGAATTTGGTAATGTCAAAAGTGAAGCAAAGTAAAGGGTGTATAGTTGTATCAATAACTATATACTAAAAGACACACCAGCAATATCAATAACGCACTTATTCAATCATTAATATCTTTAATTATCAATAAGCAAAAATTATGAAAAGTTGATATTTTAAAAGTTAATTAGGAGACGAATCTAACAAGATCCCACATGACTATATTTTTCATTACATATAAAGCACAAAAAACAGTCAAAGAGAGGTGTGTGAATAGTGCTAAAATCAATAGTTTTATTACAATAACATATTGCATGTCTTGTTTGAATCATCGATAAAGTTGCTACATCTAAAATTTTCAATAGTAAAGAATACAATAGCTCAAAATTCAAGATAATACA